AGCGGCTAGCACAGGGCCCGGCGGGCAGGGGGCGTCAAGGGCGAGCCGCTCCCATTCCTGCTATCGTCTGTCGGATTTAAGAAGCCTCGCTGCACATCTCTGTGCTGATGATGAACTGAATTGAATTCCACTACCCGCCCCTGGTTTTTGACCTTTACAGGGGACTTTGAAGCCAGCAGTGAGTCAGGAAGGACTCAGGACTCGTGCTGGGGCCATAGCATGCATACGACCAGCCTCACCCGTCGCCCACAGACCACACAGAAGTATGGTCTCCGCAGCCAGACCGGGGGTCGGGGTGGGGGGGGTGCTGTGACTGTGACTGGGTGGAAAGTGGGGGAGACTCTCACGGCCGCTCTGGTGCTGGTAGATGTTTCAGTGGTCACTGGGTGGCAGCACATCCCCGGGAATATGGTGTTGGCGAGGCAAGCTTTTCCTGACTGAATCTGAGGCCCCAAACCAAGGGTAGGAATCTTGGAGGGCACCCGGGCTGGAGAGGGGTTGGAACTTGCCCAGGGTCACACAGTTTTCAGTGGCGGGGCCAGGCCAGGTGAAAGGTCACCTGCCTGCCTGGAGGGGCTCAGGAGCGGAGCAGGGAAGGAGGGGCAAGCTTGGCGAGTGGGAGTCCGAGGACCAGCCTGACTCAGCCCCCTGGAAGTGGGTGGATGTCCTTACCCCAATTTCCACTCTGGAACCCTATCCATCTTTCAGTAGTGCTCAGAGGTGCTCAGACCTCCTCCCGAGGTCCTTGCTGACCTCCCTCACCTGTGACAGGCAGAGGTAGGGGTTCTCCTTGTACTCCCACCAGGACCTTGATGGTGGCCTGCTCACAGCTGTCATTACCCCCACCATCTGTCTCCCATGCCATGCAATGATTCCCTGAGGACAGGGATTGGGCCTAGTGGCACCTGCTTCCTGCACCAGCTGTGCCCTCTGCCTGTGTCACCCTGCCCTTCTTCTCAGCCTGGGTAGCAATAGCACTTCCTTCAGGACTTAACTGAGACATCGCTTCCTCCAGGAAGCCTTCTGTGGCCTTTGGGTTGGCCAGAAGCCCTTCTCTGGGGTCACATAAAACAGGACTTCTGCATGCTGAGACCCCTGGGGCAGGGATTGTTGGTGGACCTAGCAGGCCCATCCCAAGTGTGCAGAGACTGTCCATTCTGAGGACACAGTGGTCCTCAAACTGCAGGAGGCACTGAAGCCACCATGGAGCTTTGTGAAAATGTAGCCCCACTTCCCCAGAGACTGTGATGCAATAGGTCTGAGAGAGAGCCCAGGAGCCTGCACCTCCTAGGAGACAGAGGCCTGAGCATCCTACGGCCTATTAGTGCACCATCGCCCTGCTCTTGGAAGTACTGAGCAAAATAACATAATGAGGAATGGCAAGAAAAACCTCTGACATCTGCACCCAGTGAATCACTTACAAGGCACTTTCGCACCAGTTTCTCCTTTTAATCTTCACCGTTATAGTACTACCCTGGGAGGGATCATCATCCGAACTCTACAGGCACCTGAGGCCCACAGGCAAGGGCGACTTGCTCCACATCCCTCAGCCACAGAGCAGCAGAGCTCAGATTGGAGCTGGGGCCATTGTGGGGTGGGACAGCTGCAGTCCACGTTGGTCTCTGGGCTTGGAGGCTGCTGTGTTAGACACCAAAATTCTGGACATTTATGTGGACTGGTGGCTCCAGCCTCATGGAGGAAGCTCAGGCCACTGCCCCTGTCCGGATTCAGGCCCTCAACATCTCTTTCCCCCTCTGCCCATCCACTTCCCCTCCTCCAGGGCACAGGGAATGTCCCACCTCATTCAAGCCTCAGCTATTTCTATGGCACTTCATCCGCAGCCAGGTATTGTGCCAGCTCCCATGGGGGATACGGAGAAGGGCAAGGCCTGCCGCCAGGGGCTTCCTGTCCGGTTGGAAAGGTGAGAAGTGCTTATGCTGGTGACTGAACAAGGTCCTTGCACTTTCTTTCCCCCCAAATAAATTCATCATCCCAACTTTACCCCCTTAATTGGCTGGAACAAGCATCTGTGCCATGTGGGCTGACCTGGGAGACCCCCTCCACTGACAAATAAAAAGTAGGTCATAATATTTTTACAGTAATAGGTATTACAGAGCAATCAATTTTCTTTTTCTTGTTTGTCACAGCAATACCCACTGATGGATTCCTAGCACCCTGTGGAAGGTGAGAGTGCTGGGAATTATAAAATCAGTACAGGAAGGGAACTCAGGAATAGGAGAACAGTGAGAAGCAATTCACAATTTGTCAAGGGATGAGCCCTCAGCCCCAATTTTAAAGGGGAAAAAAACCTTTCCAGAACAAATAGAAACATGTAGTAAGTTAATCAACATACTGCTGGCCCAGGAAAGCCAGGAAGGGATTTCAAAAGGCAATACGTAATTCGCTGCCAAGTGGATGATCCAAATGACTTTTTCAGGAGCCAGGATGGTCTGGTAAAGCTGCCTGGATTAGAGCTGGGCCTGGAAGCGGGGTGGGACAAGGCAGAAAAGAGGAACCTGGACATCTCGCCCTCAGCTAAGGCGAGGGACCAGAGTGAACTGGGGGCCAGGAGGCTCGAGTGCCGTTATGCCATGTGAATTGTTTACTAAGTACTCACATCTGCTTTTTTTTTGTCTATTTATTTATTTTTATTAAGATATCATCGATGAAGGTTTCACATGAAAAACATTGGGGCTACTACATTCACCCATATTATCAAGTCCCCCTCATGTCTTTTTGAATCTGAGAAATTATATTCTTTGGGTAAATTCCTAGCAGTGGAATTCCTGGGTCAAATGGTATTTCTATTTTTAGTTTTTTGAGGAACCTCCATATTGCTTTCCACAATGGTTAAACTAGCTTACATTCCCACCAGCAGTGTAGGAGGGTTCTCCTTTCTTGGCATCCTTGCCAGTATTTGTTGTTCTTAGTCTTTTTGATACAGGCTAGCCTAACGGGTGTGAGGTGATATCTCATTGTGGTTTTTATTTGCATTTCCCTGATAATTAATGATGTGGAGCATCTTTTCATGTGCCTATTGTTTGCCTATGTTTTCTTATAAGAGTTTTATGGTTTCATGACTTACATGCAGGTTTTTGATACATTTTGAGTTTACTTTTGTGTATGCAGTTAGACAATAATCCAGTTTCATTCTCTTACATGTAGCTCTCCAGTTTTGCCAACACCAGTTGTTGAAGAGGCTGTCATTTTCCCATTGTATATGTATGGCTCCTTTATTGTATATTAATTGACCAAATATGCTTAGGTTTATATCTGGGCTCTCTATTCTGTTCCATTGATCTATGGGTCTGTTCTTGTGCCAGTACCAAATTGTCTTGATTGCTGTGGCTTTGCAGTAGAGCTTGAAGTCAGGGAGCGTAATCTCCCCAGATTTATTCTTCCTTCTCAGGATTGCTTTGGCTATTTGGGATCTTTTGTGGTTCCATATGAATTTTAGAACTATTTGCTCTAGTTTGTTGAAGAATGCTGTTGGTATTTTGATAGGGAATGCACTGAATCTGTAGATTGCTTTAGGCAGGATGGCCATTTTGATAATATGAATTCTTCCTATCCATGAACATGGGATGTATTTCCATTTATTGATATCTTCTTTAATTTCTCTCATGAGTGTCTTGTAGTTTTCAGGATAAAGGTCTTTTACTTCCTTGGTTAGGTTTATTCCTAGATGTTTTATTCTTTTTGATGCAATTGTGAATGTGCTTCTTTTTATCTTTATCACATATACCTGCTTCCTCACACCCTGCCCCACTCCACAGACACCTGAAGCTGAGTCAGGAAGTGATTTGCCCAAGGTCACCCAGCTACAAAATGGTTACATCTGGTCTTGTGCTAAGCTATCGTGGGGTGGAAGAGCCACAGTCCATGTTAAAATAGCTGGGTGTGGAGGTTGTTGCTGTTTTAGCCTGAAATTCTGGCCTGAAAACAGGGCTTGGAGGTTCCAGCCCCAGCTCTGCCACCAACCACCTGTGAGACATGGGGAAGCTGCTTTAGTTTCCTTCCCTGCACAAATGGCTGATAATACTTGCTCTCCTCTCATAGGGTTGTGGTGAGCTTTGAAATCCTGTGAAAGTGATCTGGACTGCAGAGCAGTGGGTACATGGGAGGGTTTTGCCAATGTGGCATTCTGCTCATACCCTGAGACTCAGCTCCCTAAGGCGTGGCTGGAGTGGGGCTCCCATTGAGCTGTGGGATATGCAGACAATCATCCTTCCACATCTCCCCTTCCTCTGCTGACCCTGGGAGGAACCTGGACAGGTCCAGGCCCATGCTGCCTGCATGAGGTAGATGCCAGGCTCTGGGAGCACAAGTCCCCTTAGAGAATCCACCCACTTTACACAATAGCAGCGCCAGCGAAAGTTGGCGGGGAAATGAGATTCATACTCCTCAGCAGGCAAGAGCAATGATGGCATTTCCTGAGCCTCGGGTACATGGGGGCTGTGACCCTCAGTGGGACCCCAGGGGGGCTGCTCCTCAGAACTATGGGAAGAGATGGGGTGTAAGGATTCTTTCACCAAATACCATACAAAGTGTCTGCCTCAGTGCTCTTAGTTTGCATGTGTGTAAACGGAAGGGAAGGTCATTTTTACCCAATTTGTCGCTAATAGAGCCACTGAACACAAGTGTGCAAGCGTTCAAGGGCACTGGACTAGACGGCAGGAATCTCAGGGTTAAGATCTGGATCTTATACCAACTATGGGTGGCTCTGGACAAAATCCCTTCCGCTCTCTGACACCTAGTTCCTGGTCTGCAAAACTGGGATTAAGCTGGCATCTCGAAGGTCCTTTCAGCTCGGACACTGACATTCTAATAGAGGTATCACAGCACCCTAGAGTCTGGTAATGAGAATGCGAAAGGGTCTGTAGTACACTGAACTTCGCTGGAGGTCTCCCCGCCCACTGATGCTTTCGTTGCCAAGGCAACCGCCGTGCCGGCGTGGTCCCCGGCGTCCCGCTGAGGAAGCTGGGAAGTACCCTGCCCTTACTAAGATGGCGGCGCCCACAGGGCCCGGGGCGGGGTTGAGTACTGTCGGTCTCTCCAGACCTCTTTCCTCTCTTTCCTCTGTTTCCTCTTTTTCATGTTAATGGCGAGCTTTCGTCAATATTTGTTCTCTTTCCTGGTTCTGGTAGCCCCGAGGACCAGGGAAGGAAGGATTGCCTCAGGGATTGGGGAAAATAGCCCGGGGGAAGGCGGGACTTCCGCGTCCTTCCGGAAGCGACGTAATAGTGGCGGCCTCCGAAAGGTGGAACGGCAGGTGGGTTCAGGTGCCAGCTTATCCCGCACCGGCCGTGAGACTGACGCTTCCGGTGAGGGACAGAGGCAGCTTTCAAGGGCCTGGAGATCCGTGGTGCGGCCTTTGGCATCCGAGCCCACCGCCCTGGCCTGGAATTCCCCCCTGTACCTAGTAAGAAACACCTGTTCCACCGAACCTCACCCCGGGGACCTCCCCCACGATCCAGAGGGTAAGGGGAGGGTCCGGCTCTCCCAGATCGCCGGGGTTGGGGGTGGCTTCTAGGCACCTTGGTTTCCTGAGCGCTACTCTCCTTTCTTTCCCGGATCCAGTTCCCTGTTCCTCTGCCGGGTTGGGCAGTGAGCCAGCCCACCTCAACTCTCAGAACCATGTTTGCAGACTTGGATTATGACATCGAGGAGGATAAACTGTGAGTATTTTTCCCCCCAAGTTCCAGGAGTGCACGAGCCCCAGGTCCCCAAGATCTCTGGACTTGCCAGTTCCACACTCTTCCCTGCAGGGATTAGATTTTGTACTATAGCAGAATGGACCCTGCCCTTCCAGGAGCTCACTCTCTGTAGGGGGCTGTAGACACATTACCAGATAAGGACAAGTCCGGACCATAGAGATGCTGATGGAGAATGGCCTGGCTACAAGGAGAGCACAGCAGATGGAGCAGTGCCTCTGATGGGGTGTTCGGGGAAGGCTTCACAGAGGTGGCAGTTAGCCAGGTTTTGAAGGTGAATAGGAATATCATACACACACCTTCCTCCCCAGTAGAGATGAGTAGTGGGATAGATTGCAGAATTGACTTTACTGGATATATCCTCCATCAGAGCAAGGACTGGGCCCAATGTTTTTCTGTGTCCTCAACACTAAGTATGGTGTTTGACATCAATAGAGTGTTAGCGGATGTTACTGAATGAATAAGTGAATTATTGAGGATATTTACCACAAAACACAAATAAGTGCTGTTTTGTAGTGAATACTGAGATTTGAGTAAAGCAGCTGAGAAATGGGGCATATGGATAGTTTAACAGGTGAAGGCTTCCTGGAGGAGGTGGCCATAATGTTCCATATGTGTTTGAAAGGTGAAAAGGACAGAGTCTGACTCAAATCTCAGAGGCAGCATGAAGGAAAGGGAAGGGGGTGCCTGCTCCGGGCTGAGTTGGTGTCAAGTGCCTTCCGTGTACTTTCTTACAGGAACATTAATAAAGTAGCCATTTTTATCCATACCATTTTGTGGATGAAGAAACTGAGATGCAAGAGAGTGACTTATTCAAGTGCCACAGCTGATAAATAGCAGAGCTGGGATTTGATCCCACAGCTGCCATGACTCCAAGAGCTGTGCACACTCCAGCACAAAATGCTGTCTTTGTGGCCAAGTGAGGAAGTCTTGTGCAGAGAAAAGGCTATGCAACATTTGGAGCCTTTTGGGGGTTTTGGAGGGCCTGTCCCTTCCTCATCCCCTCCAGTTTCCTTCCTCCAGGAGATTCAGACTCATGTGCTTCTCTTCCTAGCGGAATCCCTACTGTGCCTGGGAAGGTGACCCTGCAGAAGGATGCTCAGAACCTGATCGGGATCAGCATTGGAGGAGGGGCCCAGTACTGCCCCTGCCTCTATATTGTCCAGGTACTGGGTGCTGTAGAGGTGGGGGTGAGGTCCTGGAAGGGGCGAACCCCCTCCCTACTTGGGCATGACAAAGGCCCACGTCTCTTTTCTGCAGAGCTTGCTCCTTCTCCTTCTTGAGGTCTGACCTCCTCACAGAGGCCTTTCTGACCAGCCCCTCTCAGCAGGTCTGCCCATGTTTTTTCTCTGTCATTTCTGTCTTTTTCTTCTCAGCACTTGCCACTATAGTCCTGGGTTTGCTCAGTAATTGTTCTGTATGTAGCTGCTTTTCCATAATCTCTGCACTATGAAGGCAGGATCCCAGTTTGCTTTTTCCCTGCAGTCACCTCCTGGTACAGTGCCTAGTATAGAGTGGACCCTCAATGAAAAGGTCTTAATGAGTCAGTGAAACTGTCAGCCTTGTTTACTAGCACAGTGAAGGGTAGGGAAAAGGCTAAAAGACTACGAAATCATAATGGCCTGAGTTCACCTGTAAGCCTCGCTGTTTATTAGCAAGTTACTTAACCTCTCTGGGCCTCAGTTTCCTCACCTAGAGAGTGTGGGTGGAATATAGGTAGGGATGGGGTTGATGTGAAGATCAGACAAGAGGACTTACTATGAGGCCAGGAACTTAAGAAGCACCCACTAAGTGGGAGCTGCTGTAGTTTCTATGGTGTTTGTTCACTTTCCCAGATGATCTGCCAGTGTGAACAATTTTGTGGTCCTTGTAGAAGAAGCTGTCCTGGTGATACTGTCAGTGGTGACTTAGGATTGGAGACAGTTTTTTCTTTACTTTGTGGCTGGTCAGAGTCAGTGATCCTTCCACAGCTTTGGAAGGAAGCTTCCCACCTCAGAGATAAACTTGACTTGGATTCTACCCCGTTCTAACCTTTGCAGCTAAGTAGCTTGGCGGTACATGGGAAATGCATTCTCTCTGAGGACCATGCAAAAGAGTCATTTCTAGGTCTTGAAGAGATTCCTGAAATTAGTCTTGCCTACTCAGGATGCAGCCTTCACGAGCGATTTGGCCTCCCCCAACCCAGGAGGTGTGAGAGACCTCACCCAGGCCTGGCCTCCTTGCCATGTGCCTGCTCAGTCTCTCCTACCACCTTCCTCTGTTCACCTGTTGAGAGCAAGGTTTGTTTAAAATGAACCATGATTATAAAATAATAGATTTTTAAACATTTGTGTTTTTATCAGACTAGCTGATTTGCTTTGAACACTGAAGGCCTGTCAAGTAATAGCGATCCTCTGCTGTACCTCCTCTCACCATGCTCCCCAACCCACCCCCTTGACAGCAGCACCCCCACTTTTCCACCCTTTTAGCTGTTTCTTCAGGTGTGAGCTTCCATTTTTCTCACTAAGACGCTTAATCCTATTATTTCTCAGTCTTTCCCTTGTAAATCTCTGTTCACTTTTCCCAGCCCAGTAGGTGAGAATTCTGCATTCAGCTCTCTTCCAAAACCGCTCTGCTGTGTCTCACCGCATCTCCCCAACATAGCTATTTTGCAAGTTTTGGCTAAATTGGTATCAGTGCCACAGATTCTTTGTTCAGGAATTATTTTCTGAGGGCCTGGCCAGGCTCTGTTGTAGGCACCAGGGAACAAGGATGTGAAGAAAACAAAGACCTCACAGAGCTCTCATTCTAGAACAGTTAACATGCTGTTTTACATACAGAGCTTAACTGTGATGGTTCTTTAAAAAAAAAAAAATGTTTGTATTGCGGTGGAATTCATACAAGAAAATTAATAGTTTTGGAGTGGATGGTGCAGTGGCATTTAAGTGCATTCACTAAATGCGACCACCTCCTCTCTGCAGTGTCAGAACTTCTCGTCACCCAGAAGAGTATCCCATGCCTTTCAAGTAATCACTCCTCATTCCCCTTCCCCTCTTCCCTGGCTTCCACTTACCTGGCTCTGTGAGTTTTTGTCTATTCTGGATATTTCATATGAAAGGAATCTAACATGTCACCTTTGGCCTCTCTCTTGCTTCCTCCACTTGGCATGTTTTTGAAGTTCATTCAAGTTGTGGCATGTTTCAACACTTCATTCTTTTTACGGAGGCATAATATCCCATCGTGTGTATATTCCCCTAGTTGTTTATCCATTCATTTGTTGATAGGCATTTGGGTTGTTTGCCCCTCTTGACTATTATGAATAAAGCTGCTGTGAACATTCATGTATAGTCTGTGTGGATATATGCTTTCATTTCTTTTCTGTATATACCTGGAGTGGAATTGCTGGTCAAATGGTAACTGTATGTTTAACTTTTTGAGGAATCTGTTTCTTAACTCAATCTTTACTTCTTTTTTTTAAAGTAGTTTCTTGTTTCTTTCTCCCCTGGTTTGCATTTTCCTTGTACTTTCAGTACCATTTTCCTTCGTCAAATATTTCCTGTGATCTTCCTGTGTCCCCCTGTCGTTTTTCCTTATTGAGCCTCCTCCCCGCCCTCTGTTGGATTCCCCGTCTCCAGGATCCCTCTTGCTTGGCTTACTTCCCCGTCTTGGTGGAGCACATCCTCCTGTAGCTTTCTGAGAAAGGCTGCGTGGGAGCTAAATTTTTTGAGACCTTGTGTCTCTTGAAAATGCCATTATCCTGTCTTTTTTTTGTTGTTGTTATTCTCATATTCCTTTCAGTTGACATTTGGGATTCAAATTCAAGATCGAATTCAGGAATGAATGGCAAATTTGAAAGTAATTTTCACTTAGAAATTGGAATCATGTTTTGCCATCAGCATTGTTGTTATGTCCAATGGTGCCGTGCTTCCTCGTGATCCGTGTAATGTATTGTGTTCTTGACCTGTCAAGACTCAGGAACTTCTTTTTGTCTCTGGCATTCTGAAATATCATGATGATGGCTCTTGTGCTAGAGCCTCAGAGGTCAGGTTCACTGGGGACCCCATGTCTTTCTCTTCTGAGCCTCAGTATTATCACTTTGATGGTATCCTGTTCTCCATGTTTTCTGTGCCCCCTTGTGGAGCAACTATTGATTAAATATTAGGCTTCCTGACTTGATCTTCTAGGATTCTTTTTTTTTTCTGATTGTCCATCTCTGTTTCACTTTCCTCTGCTTGGTTTTCATTTTGGCATTTTTTCATTTCAATTATATTTTGCATTGCTGAGAGATCTTTCTTATTAACAGATCCTTTTATATCCTCCTCCTCTTGGTATCTAATCACTGTGAAGGTGTAAATTATAGTTTTCTTTTTGTTTTTACATGGTCTCTGCTTTATTTCTGTTTCCTGTGGTTCCTTTTATCTGTTTAAGTGTTTTGGTGTTTCTCATGTAGGACACTTTTCTCAAGTGCTCAGTATTCCCGCCTGTCATTCCTTTTACGTGTGAGCCTCACCGTCATGTGCCCGTTTGTGTCAGCGGCCGCGCTTCCTTGCAGGGCGCCCAGGCATTGAAGAGCAGTGGGGGTAGCTTACCAGTGTCCACATAGCGAAGCCTTTCCTGTGGAGCCATTCAGATCAGGGTCCCCATCTCCTGAGGGGAAGGCAGGAAGCCTGGCTGCTGGCATTCTGGGGTGAAGGGCTCTGGGACTCACGCTTCGTGTGTGAACGTCTTGTAGCCCCTTCTGTCTTCAGTTCACCTCTCTCCCACTTCCCCGGTCCCTGGGAGTGGGGAACTTCTCTGGGGAATAAGCCTTGTCTTCCCCCTAGAAGGGGCAGTGGAGGGCTGGGTGGGCAGGGAGGGAGCCTGGAGTCGTGTCCGTCCCCCCTGGCCGTCCACCCAGCCATGGCTGTCCCCAGAGGACCATTCCCTGCCCTGCTGGCAGTTTCTAGCAAAGATCAGATCTCTTTCATTAGCCCCACCCTGGATGCCCACTGTTCTGTCTTGCATACACAGACATCTTTCTTGGTCTCCTGTACCATTAAAAATAAAAATTTTTTTTTTTTAGTGTGGTTCTGGAAGGTAGCAGAAAGAAATATTCATCTTAATTTTATCATTTTCTTATAATAATATAGTAAACATCACAAAGTGTTCTTTTTACATGCTTTATGTAGAAAATTTAGAAATAATATGTTGTAGAAAGAAGACAGGCTTAGATAACCACTCCTAAGAATTTTGATGTCTCCCCACTGTGCTTTATTTTGGGATACGATTTTTGTATTCTTGTGTCCAGCTCTGTACATACTTAGGCAGCCTGCCTCCCCCATGCCCGAGTGCCACTCACATAGCTGTCCAGTGACTCACAGAGCCCATGAGTGCAGACTCCGCTGAAGGGGTCACGGTGGGAAGAGGCGCATCCTTGCACGGTGGGGTCCTTACTCTTTGGAGGTGCAGATACGGACATGCGGTGCCTGGGGACTCAAGGCAGCTCAGAGCAGCATTGTTGGGAACCCTATTAAAGAAAGAACCCTGGGGGAGCACTCCGCTGGGGGTATAAGGTTTGCTGTATTTGGTATCAGAATAGGAGAGTCATCAGTACGCATTTCCCTTCCGTCCTCCCAAGAACGTGGCGTCAGTCCCTCTGCTTGGGCACTTTCTCCCCTCCCACTTCTGTAGCACCTCCAGAGGGTGGAGACCAAGGCAGAGCAGGGCTGTGGGTGGGTGGAGAGGATGACTGTCTCTCGCCCACTTTCCTCTCCGCTGCCCCTCCCCTCCCCTGCCCACCCTCCTTGTACCCCCACAGGTATTTGACAACACTCCGGCTGCCCTGGACGGCACTGTGGCGGCTGGCGACGAGATCACCGGGGTCAATGGCAGATCAATCAAAGGAAAAACTAAGGTGGAGGTGGCCAAGATGATTCAGGAGGTGAAGGTGAGGCTGCAGGAATGGGGACCCAGAGGCGGCCACTTCTAATCTCCCATCTGCCACATGCCTCAGCGGCCCTCTCACCACTCCTCAGCCCGGCACCGGGCTCGGGGTCTCACTCAGCCCCCGTCAGTTTCTCCCCTGCTCGTTCAGTAACTCCCTCTCTGCTCCAGGAGTCGTGCTGGGCCTTGGCCAGAGTGGCTGCAGGGCCACAAGGTCCTTGTCACTGAGTTTGCAAGGCGGGCCGCCGTCAGATCTGGACCCATGCCTCAGGGTGAGCCAGTGTGTCCCGTCAGGGCTGCAGCTGCAGCGGGAAGTCTGAGGGGAGCCCGTCTGGTCAGCAGACACCCACAAACTGTCAGCTGGGCCATGCCGGGCCTGGGAGGGACTGAGAGGGAAGGAGGAGCCCTCCCCGCCCAGTCCCTATAGTAACTTCCGGTCCAGTGGGTCTTCTGAGCTCAAAGACCCCAGGACCCCTTCTGGGCCCTGGGGCAGCTCCCAGTCTCGCTGCTGGTCTGTGCTCCATAGACTAGAGTCACAGGTTCCCCCCCAACCCAGCTACTCCAGGCCAAGGCCTCTCCTGCAGAGCCCCTTCCTCCCGGAAGTGCAGGCAGCCTCCAGGCCACCTAGGCCACTCACGGAAGCAAGCATGGAGCCTTTTGACATTTCCTAGACATTTTGGTGCAAGTAACTTGGGAAACCAAAATAGTAAAGGGGGTGCAAAGCCATGGGATGATGGAGTCCAGGTGTAGATTGAACTTGGCCAAGTGTATTAGTTCCCTTACTCATTCAGACCTGTCCTCACTGCCCTGTGTGCCTAAGGACCCTACGGCCCCCCTTTCTGACCTTAGCCCAGGGCCAGCAGCTTCTCCATCTTCTCCCTTTATTCTTCTGTTTTGCTCCACCTTGCCTGATTTTGCTGTCCCAGGCCTTACCTGCTGGGCAGAGGGGCTCCTGGGAAGCAGGTGCATGGTGTTGCATCTGGTGCAGCACTGGGACGTGGGACCCTCTGGGTCTCCTTCCTCATCCCCTCACCGTCTCTGCTCATCAGAATCCTCCTCGTCCTCTGAGGCTTGTCTCAAACCAGCCCCTCACGTTGTCCCTGAGGATAAGAGCTCTTCACCACGTATACACAGCCCTGACAGCAGCACAGGGGTCTCCCCCAGTGCCCAGGCAGTGATCACTGTCCCCATTTACTGGTGCCAGAGGGAGGAAGGGGTTTGCCTGTGGTCACACTGATGGACCAGAGCCCAGGTCTGACTCCCACTGCCGTGCTTCCTCTACCCATCAGCTGCCCTCAGTGGCAGTCCCCCCTGCTAACTCCTGCCGCCCCCTGTGCTGCCGCCTGGAGCCTTCCCATCCACCCTGACACTGACGGCATCAGGTCATTTTGGTTTTCCTTCAGGACTCAATTTTGAAATCCAGGGTTGCATTTGAATGGATTTGGTTTCAGGTTCAAGGGTCTTAGGATTGCAAGGACGAGAGTGACTTGTGGCCTCATGTGGTCAGGGATGGCTTCTCTGGAGAAACTGGCACCTCTTTTCCAGTTGCTCGAATGCAACTTGTGTAATTCCCTGATTTGCATCAGCCTCGCTTGCTGGCCTTGGACCCTGGGGCTGGGCTGTCCTGCACTTGGGTCCTTAGCATCTGAGCACCAGGCACAGAGAAAGTAAGGCTCAGACATGTCTGTTGGGTGAATGGAGGGATTCCTAGGGACGGGGAGGATTTATATGTGGGGGCAAATGATGTAGCAAAGGTGTGGAGTGTGGCGTGGCATGGGACAGGTCCGAGGCACCAGATCTGGCTGGAGCAGAGGCCACCAGAGGCCACCGGGCTGTGAGCCCTGACGGCAGGGACCATGCCTGCTCTTGTCCTTGCTGATTCCCCGGGGCCTGGCACATGGAGGAGGAGGGACCTGGGAGCAGTCCAGTCACAGCGCAAGGCCCTGTCACAGCCCTCGGTCCGGTAGGGCTGGATTCACAGCCGCTCTGGTCCCTTTCCGGGGCTCCGAAGCCTCTCATGAGCTGGGCAAACAGGCTCCTCAGGGAAGAGGCTTGGGGTCTGGCGGCCCCCATCACAGTCCTACCTGTCCTGCTTTTCCAGGGGGAGGTGACTATCCACTACAACAAGCTGCAGGCGGACCCCAGGCAGGGCATGTCCCTGGACATAGGTAAGCTGGGCCAGAGCAGTGGTGTCTAGTGGCCCCACAGGCCCCTGGCCCCTGTCCTTCCTCTTTAGGACAATGTTTCAGTAGTTGCACGGCTTTGGTCTCTGACTTTTCTGACCAGGCAAATCCAAAAGGCCTGGGAGGACCCAGGGGTGCTCTCCCTGTGGCTGCCCCAGCAACCGGTCCTTGGTTTCTCACTGCCCTGTGCTTCGCCCCCTCCCTCAGCTACCTTCTCTGGTGCTGCCCTAGGGTTGCCCTTTGCAGGCCGAGTCCCCAGCTTACCACAGCCCAGCCCCACACCCTTCTGAAGGGAGGGCGGTCCCGTGCTGGCCTGCCCCTAGTGGGTCCTGGCCTCTTCCTCCACCCACCCATTCCCAGGAAGGCTTGAGATCTGAACCGGACCTCAGGCGTTGGGCAGAAGGTCACAGGCCAGCCCTCTGGGACTTCTGCTCTAAGACAAGTTGCCTCCTGCTAAGGGACTGGGTCTTGGCTCTGCAGAAACGTCAAGACTCAGGGGCTGGATGGTAGCTTTGTGGTCCTGTGGACCAGCCACCTTGTTGCAGGGCCGAGGCCGGAGACCCAGAGAAGGCTGTGTCCCCTCCCCTGGGTGAATGTGCACCCAGATCTTGCTGCTCTGGAGCCCAGCCCCCTTTGCCTGCACCTCAGGGCTGGAGCCACTTTCTGGTCTTTAAGGAAAGGGCCAAGGGCAGACTGAACCTGTCCTGGAGGTTCTTCCTGTAAAGCCCTTTGGTCCCATCGTGGCCCCTTCCTAGGACTAGGTATGTGCGTGTGCAGCAACTGGGTCTGGGGTCCAAGGTCAGTTGTGACGATGGTGTCTCCCCCCAGATAGGGAAGGGAGGAGGAGAGGCTCTCCCCGGCTTGCCTGTCAGCCAGTGTTGAGCCTGGGGTAACTGGCCCCTGGGTGGTAGCCAGTAGCCACTTGGAGAACCAGTCCCTTGGCTAAACACTTCACATACTTACCTCTTCACAGGCTCCTGACACCTCCTTCGATTAGAGAGTGAACAGGACAGGGGGCTCAGGACTCCCGTGGGATACCCCCACACAAACCCCAGTTCAGTCCCTCTTGCCCCTGCTGTCGCCCCCAGTGGGTCATGGTGAGGCTGGGGCCGGGATGGCCACTCCCCGTCACTGAGTCCCTTTCTCACCTGGTCCCAGTGTTGAAGAAGGTAAAGCATCGACTGGTAGAGAACATGAGTTCGGGGACTGCAGACGCCCTGGGCCTGAGCCGGGCCATCCTGTGCAACGGTGAGTCCCCTCCTCCCTGCCGGTTTGCCCCAGGGGACCCGGGCTCGGGCTTCCAGGGGAGGGGCACCCTGGCTGCCACCAAGCCAATGGAGCCCTGCTGGCCTGGGCCTGGCCCCTCCCTGTGGGGCCCAGAGTCACCATATCCTCGACCCTGGAGGCCTCTCTAGCTCCCAGAGAGTTCAGCAGAGGTCAGCTGAGGCATCCTGCAGCCAGGGTCCCCTCGCCCCCAGGCATCTCTATGAATTCCTGTTACTGCGGCCACCATGTGCTGAGATGAAATTAGAATTTGTGTTTTTCCCTGCAAACCTTGCCAACACCGATGAGGAGACAGACTCACGTTAGGGAGGCGCCTCTTCCTGGCTAACTGAGCTGGGGCTTGGCTGCTGCTGCCAGCTGCCCTTGCATAGCCAGGCCTCAGCCCCGCGCTGTTCCTGGATGCCGCGGGCGCTCCTCGCTGCGGGCACCAGCTTGGTCTTTGCTCCCGCACCGCCCTCCTCCAGGAGGTGGCGCTGCTGCCCCATCTCAGCTGTTAGTGCCCAAGGCTGTGGCCGCCTGGGGCGGGGGAAAGCCAAGGGGTGCGCACACGCCCACCCACGCGTGCATGTGTACACGCCCACTCCCCCCCCCCCCCCCCGTAGCCAGTGAAACAGTCCTGCTCTTGCCAACACCCTTGGGTTTATAAATAGCTGCAGTTCTGCAGTGTATGTGTGGGGACTTGATATGAATTCCTATATAAATGGTAGGCTCAGCTGGGCGTACTGGGCTTGATTGGCTGGGACACGGGGGTGAGGACTGAGCTGGTTCCAAATGGTGTACAAAAGTGGTGCCTGCTATTTTTGGCCTCTTGGTGTCTATAAATCCCTGTTACTGTAGTTACCATGCGTTGAGATGAAATTAGAACTAGTTGTGTTTTTCTCCCCAAACCTTGCAATTTCCCTAGCCTTAAATAGGGTTTCTAAAATTAAAGCTGTTATGATGTCCCATGACCCAGCTAAAAACAACAGCATGGTGCTTACGTGGCTCCTTCCCTGCCAGGCTGGCCGGGTGCCAAGGCTCTGGCAAGCCAGGGCCGGGAGGCCAGCCGGTGGCCGAAGCCTCCCAAAGACCTTCAGGTGCTCCCGTCCATCCTCCAAGCCGGAGCCTTTCTCCCTGCCAGCCTGACACAGCCACCTCTCCACCCAAAGAAAGGCCCAGACTGGGCCTCTGCTACTTCCCCCAGTCCTGCTCAGAGAACCCCGATTTGGGGCAACCCAGGAGACTAGGGGGTAGAGAGCGTCCAGGCTGTGCGCCTTAGGCAAGTTGCTTTACCTCTCTGTCCCTGTGTTCTTTATAAAATGAGGGAAGTAGCCCCTGCCCCAGAGGCTCACGTGGCTCAAAGGCTGAGCTGTGTGCAGGGAGCCTCAAGTGGTCCTGGCTTACAGGGGGTAACTCAGGAAGGCCAGGCCCTGCCCTGGGGGGAGGCCAGGCAAGGATGACGCTCACCTGGAGCCCCTGCCCTTTGGTTGCTGTGTTGCTCTCAGCGGGAGGTGGGTGCCTGCCTTATGCTCCCGTGGTGGGGAGGAGGGTGGCGCTCCGTGCTGCAGGAGCGCTCAGTGAGCCCTGGGCCCTCACTGCCTGGCCCTTAGCTGTCCTGAGAGCTCCCTGCCCACCTTCCCCCCAAATCTGGGATGCTGGCCCCATCCCCGGCAGTCCATCCACACCCACTCTGAGCTCTTGAGGTACAGCTGCCCCCGCCCCTCGCCTTGCAGCCCCACTGTCCCCGCCAGCCCCGTCCTGGCCACTGTCCCCTGCTGCACTGTGAGCCTCGAGGACACGATGAGGCCCTCCCCTATACTGTTATTCCTGGGCCTAACACGGGGTCTGGTGCACAGCAGGCGCTTGGTAACAGCTGTTAAGCAACCGAAGATGATCACCAAGGCCAGCGTGAGGTCTTCCTCTCCTCGCCTCTGCCTGCTGGCCGCGAGGTGCCACCCGTAGGTTGGGCACCAGGGAGGGCCGAGCCGTTTCCCACTCGCCACCTTTCTGCCCCGTCCATGTGCCGAGCCTGCCGTGCTGCGGGGGCTTAGCTCCGGAGCATCCCGGGGGCAGTCCTGCCTGTCCACCACTTCTCGGCTGTGCTGCGCTGTTTACAAAACCCTCCGAGCCCAGCCGACCCTGCAGTGCCAAATCCCCCTCCTATGGCCCCGTTCTGTGCCCTTCGTCGTTCTGCCCTGGGGCCGCCTCTCCCCTCCCACCTGACCTGTGCCACCCCTGGCTCGCTGAGACCGACTGACCCGCTTTCCTCTGATCCCCGTAGACGGGCTTGTCAAGAGGCTTGAGGAGCTGGAGCGGACTGCCGAGCTGTATAAAGGTGGGCAGGGCACCTCTGCTGGCAGCCCCGTGGTGGGCGGGGTGCCCCAGAAAGTGCCAGGAAGAGCTTCAGAGCCCTGCGCTGAAGATGGTGACAATGGGGAGCAGGAATGCCAGTGTACAAAATTCTAGGACCATGGCCGTTAAGAATTCTTGACGAAAAGTCTTAACACATAACCTTTTCTGATTATAAGATACAGATCCATAAGAATTCAAATAATAGCACATGTAAATGTAGTGGGATTCCCCTGTTCACCTTCTGCCCTGCGAAATCCTGCCTCCCCAGTCTGATGGGGCTCCACACGGTCAGGGCCGGTGCCGGGGCTGAGCCTTCAGCCCTGGGCCCTAGTGGGAAGGGTCAGTGAACCCAGGAACAGGGAGGACTCAGGGGTGGGGGGTGGGGGTGGAGGCCCCCACCACATCCCCACCCCCCACCTTGGCTGGCTGTCCCCCACAGGGATGACAGAACACACCAAGAACCTCCTCCGGGCCTTTTATGAGCTGTCACAGACACATCGGGGTAAGAGCACCCCCAAACCTGCTCTGTGACCCTGGGAAATCCCTCCCCTGCTCAGCTCAGCACCTCCGTACAGGGAGGATGTACCCGAGCTCCTCCCTGGAGGTTCTCGTACCTGTGCCCAGTGGCTGTCCTCAGGCCAGGCTGGGGCTGGGCATTGTCTAGATGCTGGGATACAGCAATAGTGGGGGCCAGTGGGGTGCATATGGGCCAGCAAGTGTCTGGGGCACAGTCACTCCTCTGGGCTCTGTCTAATCTGCATCACCACTTAGAGTATGTAAGGCCCTTACTTATTCATGGTCTCATTTCCTACAAGTCCATTAGCTGGGCAAGGCAACTACAGTTACTCCCATTTTACAGTTGGGAAAATGAAGCCCAGACAAAGAAAATAGTTTCACATGCCAGTGAGACCCTGGCATCCAGCTTCCTAGACCAGTGCCCTGCCCTTAGACATCGCCACCTACTCCCTCTTGGCCCAGCCTTGCCCAGTAGTCCGGTCACTCTGGGGAAGGAGGGCCGGCTCCCTTGAGTGTAGACAGACCCAGCTCTTTCAGGTGCAGACCCAGCTTCCTTGGGCATGTAGACCCTCCTCTCTTGGGACATAGCCTTCAAACAGACCCTGGCCTCCAGCTTGCCGCTCTCCCCACCCGCTTCTCCCCAACAAATCCCTGGCTTCTCTGTAAAGAGGCCAAGCAGGGGCAGCCTTCAGGGCAGACTTGTCATGCAGCCTTTGGGGACGTGTTCTCCGTGATTGGGGTACGGGAGCCCCAGCCAGCGGCGAGCGAGGCTTTTGTGAAGTTTGCGGACGCCCACCGCAGCATTGAGAAGTTTGGCATCCGACTGCTGAAAACCATCAAGCCGGTAGGTCGCGCCCAGCTCTGTGTGTCAACACGTGCGGGTGGAGGGGGCAGTGTGGCATGCAGAAAGTGTCCTGTACTGGAGTCGCAACGCCTAGATGCAGGCTCTGGCGTGGTCACCTCCACGGCTGACTGTGGGCAAGTCGCTCTGCTGCCCCGGCCTCAGCGCTGATCTCCAGGCTGGTTTCTGGCCCTGGCTTCACCCTCAGTCCCAGCCTGCCCTTGGCCTGGCCTACCTTCTTATCCTTGAAATGGACAGACCGTTTGGAAGCACCCTTTGGCTCTGACACCTGAGTTATGCAGAAGGAGTGACACATTAGTGCCATTCTCTGTCACCTTGGCCAGCCTAACTCCCGACGTGTGGGGGCCTAAGCGTCCACCGCGTCCTGCCCTTCCAGATGCTGACGGACCTGAACACACACCTCCGCAAAGCCATCCCCGACACTCGCCTCACCATCAAGAAGTACCTGGATGTGAAGTTCGAGTACCTGGTGAGCGGTGTCCAGCCTCTGGGGAGGGGTGGGTCTGGCTGCTGGGGTAAGAGCCCACCTGGAGACCTGTCCCTCCTCAGTCAGCCACGCAGTGGTGAGCAGGTAAGGCCAGACCTCTGTCATGCCTGATTGGGACCAGGGCCTTGGGGTGGTGCTGGGCAATCAGGCAGCACCACGGGCCCTTCCCTGACTGCTCAGAGACGCCTCTGTGGGGCTGGTGGCCTGGGGTGCGCCGAGCCCTTACTCTGACCCCTTGGGATTTTTTTGGTTACCTTTAACATTGGATTAGACTAGGTTAGTGGTGATAAAGTGGGTGCCAAGGGATGGTAATGAATTTTGTGTTTAAATAATAATTCTGTGATCAAAGGAATTTAGGAAAAATGCTCCACTAAGCAAGCCAAAGTTCCTGCAGGACTTCTCAGAGCCTTTGATAGGCCTGTGTGCACTGAGTCCTTAGGGGCCTTCCCAAGCTCTTTTGACCATGGAACCTTTTTTTCTCAAAGCATCTCTTGGGACTTGAGTTTGGTAACTGCTGGGCTGTTTCTCATGCCCTTCTTGTCCTCCCAGATGGGCCCCCTCTCCTGCCTGCTGTCACCCCGTCCTGGGCCTCCCTGAGCAAGGGCCAGTCTGAGGTGCCAGCCTACCCCTGACACATCTCAGCTTACCCCAGCCGAGGGCACTCAGGATGCAGGAGGCCTGCATGGTTCTTCCTCTGGGTGGCTTAGGGGTACAGTGTGGTGTGGGGGAAGCTGGGCACATCCGGGTGTCCATCGAGGAGCTGTGGCCTTCCAGGAGCTGCAGCCACTCTGAAAGCCTCGCTCGCTGTCCCACAGTCATACTGCCTGAAGGTGAAGGAGATGGATGACGAGGAGTACAGCTGCATCGTGAGTGTCGCTGGGAGTGAGGGGCCGTGACGCAGGGTGCACGGGCCTTCCCCTGTCTGCTCTCTGAGCCCCAAGAAGGGCTGGCCAGCCCAGGAGACATTGGGGGGCTCGGTCAGGCTCTAGTTTCTGGAGATTTGTGGCTCTCCACCTGCAGCTCTGCCCCTCTGGGTCTTGGAGTGCCAGCCAGCTTGCAAGCCGCCCCCAGACCACCGGTGCCCTCAGCCCCGCCAGACTTTGGGAAACTCTTGCAGAGAAAAACTGACTTTCCTCAGTCCAAAGAGGCATATTTTATTTTTGAACGTTTTTAATAGTTTTTTAAGTCAGGACCCATCACATGACTAATTATTCATTTATTTAATGTGGGGTTTGTTGGTTTCTTCCACAAAGCGGTTAGTAAGTACTTCAGCAATCGCTGGCATCTCAGAGGTGAGGCACCGTGGAAGCGTTGGAAAGGGCCGTGTGCTGCAGGGCTGTGAGCTGGTGGGTGGGCTGCAGGCTTCCTGCCCCTGTCCCCGTCTGTGCTTGTGCAGGAGGCCCTGAGCAGGACCCACCCTGGTCCCTGACGTGCTCCTCCCTGCCCCAGGCCCTAGGGGAGCCCCTGTACCGCGTGAGCACAGGCAACTACGAGTACCGCCTGATCCTGCGCTGCCGCCAGGAGGCCCGCGCCCGCTTCTCCCAGATGCGCAAGGACGTGCTGGAGAAGATGGAGCTGCTGGACCAGAAGCATGGTGAGGGCCGCAGGTGGGCACCGCGGCTGAGGCCATGCCCTGCCTCAGTTGGTCTCTACCACTTCCTCACTATGATGGGCTGAGTACCAGCTTCTCCCATTGCAGAGCTGTGACCCAGAGTAAAGGACTTCACAGAGGTCCCAGAGCCCGGCCATGGGTCAGACCCCAGGTGGGAAGGCCTGGCAGCACACCCACCTTCCCAGAGCCTGGCCTGGGAGTGATGGTCCAGGCCTGGGGGTTCCCTGGGGCTGCCTACAATCCACCCGCCCTGGTGCTCCCCGAATGAGGAGCTGGGAGTCCTGGGGTCTGTGCAGGGCCAGGCAGCCCTGCCTTGCCCCGTCCCAGGGCACGAGAGCTCAGTGGAGTGCCCGATGGGAAGCCCCAGGGAGGGAGGCGGGCCTGGAGGGTCTTCATGTGCAGGCAGCCGTGCCCACTCGTGCCTGCCTGCCGCCCTCCCCCCCAGTCCAGGACATCGTGTTCCAGCTGCAGCGCTTCGTGTCCACCATGTCCAAGTACTACAACGACTGCTACGCGGTGCTGCGCGACGCTGATGTCTTCCCCATCGAGGTGGACCTGGCCCACACCACGCTGGCCTATGGCGTCAGCCAAGACGAGTTCACTGATGGGGAGGATGAGGAGGATGAAGATGATGAGGACACAGCGGCCAGGGAGCCATCCAGGGATGTGCAAGGGGCTGCTGGTTCCCTGGACAAGGGTGGAAGCTGGTGTGACTCCTGAGTGCCCCTCGGGGTGTGGATCTGGGGGGTAGGGTGAGTGGGAGGAAAACAGCATGGGGGCGGGGACAGGCCACCGCACCGCAGGGCTGCGCATAAAGGCCTGCTGGCTTGGGGTGCCTGTTTCCCTGCTCCTCTGCCCTAGTGCAGTGAACCGGGCTTCCTGCCCCGGAAGGCACCAAGGCCATGACATGGGACTTGGACGTTGGCCTCTCCATCTTCTTTCCCCACCTTCCCAGCCAGATGGAGAGCTTGGCACCTGACCCCACCTTAGGAAGGGAAGAGGGTTTGGAGGTGGCAAGTCCAGGACCCGCTGTAGGCACCCCACTAGCCTTACCTGGAGCCTGCGGGGAGTCGGGGGCCAGGTGTTCAGCTGAGGTTGGGGCCAGCGTCTCGTGTACAGCCTCCCCCTGGGCCGGCCCCTCCCCAGTCCACTCTCACCTCGGCGGCCTTTATTTATTTTATTCCCTCAGCTCAACCACTAGCTTAGGGAAGGGCTGGGCACGGCCTGTTGAATAAACGTAAACCCAGCTGGAGCCGGGCTCTTTGCAGTGGCCTCAGACCCTCCTCACCCCTTGCTGCCCCCTCTTCTGCCTCCATCAGGAGGGAGGGCGGGCAGCAAGATGCAGAGATGTTCCCTGCACTTGCCACCACTTGTCCCTCACAGCAGCTCTGGATTTGCGCTGTCGTCTGTCCCCATTCACAGATGGGAAACAGCTTGCGCAAGGCTGCATGGTGTACAGTGGCAGAGGGAGATTTGGACTTGACCTGTCATGTCCAGAAGACTCCATGTTTCTCTTACTCTGGGCCTGTCTGCTTTGTGGAGCCTTTTATGTCCCCCCTCATCTTTGATCCCCCAGTGTTGCAGGCCTGTATTTGGGGAAGGGCAGGACAGACACTGGGTCCCAAGCACCCAGGCCCCAGATTGAGGAATGTTGAGGGTGCCCCGGCCACTCCAGGTGCACTGTCCTGCAAGGACCTTGGGGAGAAGCCAAGGGGAGTAGCTGCACCAGTATTCCCAGTCTTTGCAAAGTGGAGGAAATGGGGTGACCATATGTTGTGCTTCACCTGGGCAGCCCCAGTCCACACCTGAGATCCCAGCATATGGTTATCGATAATGGCCCTTTTCACTCTCAAAATGCCCGTTTGGACAATGAATTGTACGGTCATCCTGAGGATGAGAAGGGCACAGGAGGGTGTGAGGGGTGAGCAGAGTCCAAAATGGGAGTAAGGCTCAAGCGTCAGGCCACACCACCTCTGAAGGAGCAGCCGGCATGGAGGCCACGGGCACAGGTGGGCCAGCAGCCTGGATTGCAGTCTCAGTCTCTGGGACCCTGGGCTACTTTCTAACCTCACCGTGCCTCAGTTTCCCTTCTTGTGAGTGTGGTTAAAGTGATCTCTCCCTTGGATTGTTATGAGAATGAGAGGAGTTAACTTTCATAAAGGGCTAGAACAGTCAGTGCCTGGAACAGAGTCAGCCCTTTATGAGTGTTAAATAAAATGTAGTCACTCTCTGCTGGCTCAGGGAACGGCAGCAGCAGTGTAAGCCAGACACCTGCCAGCTTCCCCACACCTTCCTGGGTTCCAGATGGGAAGTGAGACCAGCAGGGACACTGGTGGTGGGCATTCCTGAGGAGTGTGGCTGCACGGAGTGGGTCCCAATGGGAAAGCTGCCTCCTTCATGGCGGCCCGATCTCTGCCCTGATGAATTGAGGGAGGGAGCTGAAGAATGTGGTTGTCAGACTTCTGGGACAAGAAAAACTACTTAGAGGGAACAGGTCCCCAAGTCTCCCCAGCGGGGGTGAGACCTTGAGCTCCCTGCACTTTAATCAAGTGCAAGAGAGGAGATGTCCCTGGGACTCCCAGAGAGAGAGGGAGATGCCGGTGTCGGTGAATGGCCGGGCTGTGCACAGCCACGGTGGTGTCTGTAGGACGTGTCTGAGCAAAGGCCCTGGGACAGCAGAGTCTCTCCTGTAGACAGAGGAGACCCAGAGCTGCACTGAGAGGGGGCCCAGCTTAGTGGGTCCCCTCAGAAGGCAGCAGGACTGGCGCCAGCCCCACACTCCCGACGTGCCCCAGGATGGGGTGGTTTACCATCTGCCTCCAGTGTGTGGAGGAGACCCAGGCTTGGCCAGGGTTCAACCCCAGCCTACAATGCTGGGGTCTGCTCCTCGGCTGTTGGGGGACCCTGAGCAGCAGGTGCTGCTGGCAAAGGCTTCAACACAGCTCTGAGCGGGGCCGGGGTTGGCAGGACCCCAAGTGTGGGGGCACCTTTTGCACCGTTCCTCCATCTCTGCTGCTTCCTCCTCCAACTGTTGGGTCGGAGGGGCCTGGGGAGAGCCTCTCACACTTCCGCCTACCGCACCCCCCCAGGCAGCAGCCAGAGGCACAGTGAAGGTGCAGGAACAGAAACCACTTCCAGCTTAACTTTATGAACTTACTCTCAGAGATCCAGACCCCGTCTACACACAGCAGCTTTCCTGAGTGAGGCCAGGGCCTGGCCATGGTGCACTGGGCCGATGAGGCAGGGAGCTCCCCTCCTGGGCCCAGAGGTGATCACCCCAGGGCAGCCTGCAGTGTGCCAGGCCCTCTTGGGGCAGCCGGGGCTTTGGGGAGGGAAGTCCCATCCCCGAGTCACTGGCCGCCCTGTCCAGGGCCCTCGCACTGCACAGAGTCTGGGCGCAGCTGTGCCTCTGCCTCCACCTCGTGCTCCGCAGGCTCAGCCTCAGGGCTTGGCTCCTCCAGAAACTCAAGGCTGCCAGGCTCCTCGGTGCTGGCGGGCAAGGCCTTGGCATCCACTTCGGCCTCGGCATCCTCGGTGCCCGTGCTGGGTGGGGCATCCTGAGAGCGGTGCAGGCAGCATGTGGCCACAGCCATGAAGACCCCAGCCAGGGCCACCTCAGAGCCGGCCAGGTAGAAGATGATCTCATAGTTCTTCAGTGTGTCCACCAGGCGGCCTGGGGCAGGGGCAGGGGAGGTAAGAGTCTGCAGAAGACCCCGCACTTCACCCCCCAACCTCAGATGAAGGGCAGTGCCCTACATTTGGTGGGGCCCACAGGTGATACTAGTCTCACTTTACAGTTGCAAAACCCCACACAGGGCCTGCCATTTGAGACCTTAAAAATGTCGCTTCACCTCCCTGGACCTCAGTTTCTTAAGTGATAAGGGCCCTTGGGTGAGGCAGTATTTTACAGTTCACAGGTACCCCTTGGACCCCCCAGGTCAAACCCCACCCCTGCCCTGTGACTTGGCCAGCTGAGGAGTGGAGAGGGGGCACAGGTTCAGCCCCACTCTCCTGAGGGCTCCCAACTCCTGCTGTTTCCACCTACGCCCTGGTCTACAGGGGACTGGTTCCGCTCTCCCAGGGCCCCTCAGGCCTCATCTTGCCCCTCCCAGGAGGCCCTGGTGCCCTAGATGGAGCTGTCATTAGCACCAGCTGGGGGCAGGGCTTGTGGGTCTCTAACTCCTGTGCCCTTCTGTTATTTTCCAAGTTTTCTATCCCAGGCACTTTCATACTCAGGAAAATCTTTTAATTGCAAATATTTTCCTCAAAAGTGTGGTTCCTCTGTGGGTTCCCCCTCTTTCGGGGGCACCTTATGGCTGTCCACACCAGACAATGACCCCTGGTCTGCGTCTCTGTGGCCTCAGCCCCCCTGATGTCCCCCAAGCCGGCTGTCCACTTGAGCCCCTCTGAGCAGTGCTCCCAGACTTGCCTTCCTGGTTCCTGCCCAGCCAGTCTGTCCCTGTCCCTGTCCCTCTCATACTCACCCTATGTGCCATCTCTGCCTATTAGATCCACCCGTAGGGGCACTGAGAAAATGAAAGAGGAATCCCTGAGCCTCTGGGAGGGCCGGTTCTGTGGTTTTGGTGGTGGGCTCAGAGGCCACCCTCACACTGGATCGGGGGCTTTGCCGTTCCCACCGGGTCAGGTGAGATGACAAAGCTTGCTGAGGGCACTTGGCCAAGTCCTGGAAGGATGGGCCACCCTCCCCATCTCAACTGCAGCCTGGACCCTGAAAAGATGGCCTCCTCGTCAATGTTCCATCCCAAAGCCCAACCTCAGCTCCCTGCTGCTCGCAGGAGGCCCCCCGCTGTTTCTGGGCTGACCCAACAACCCAGGAAGACCCTCATGTCCCCACCCCCAGCTTTCTGATTCCTTCTTCTTCACTACAGAGGAAAACTGTCCCCCAAATGCCTGCTATGCCCTCTCCTGTGGGGTCCTGCCAAACTGGCAGGGTTGCCTTAATGCCAGCCCCTGCAGGAAGTTCTCCCCGATCACCCTCAGTGTGGCGATTTCCTAAGAGAGCCGATGAACGTGGAGTACCCAGGAGGCGGCGTGCACAGGGGTAGGCCCAGACCTGTCTCTGGACAGCAGCCTCACTGAACGTGGGCAGGGCCTGGCTACAGTCCGCTGGGCAGATGAGGGCGGGAGCTCCCCCTGAACCCCAGCATGACCACCTCCAGGCACACTGAGTACTGCCACTTTACTCCTGTTTCCAGGGCTGGTTCCCCAGACACACTGTCCCTATCCTAGTCACCCTTAAAGGCTGGAGACACTAAAGTGCTCAGACGCATTGTTCCAAAGGTGTGGGCCTCTAGCACTGGGCACGGCTCTGCTCTACTTCTGGGGCTTACAACTATGGGGCCTCTGTGCCTCAGTTCCCCCATCTGCAGGAGGAGAATAGGCATCTGGGCTTCACAGCAGGTTGCCTTTGTGCCTGTTGCTGGAGATGACCCACTGCAGCACCAGCTACCAAAGCTGGTTTCTTCCTGGCACCTTTCTATGTTTTTCTGTCACCACCCAGAGCTGGTGGCAATGCCTTGGAGGACTTAATTGGCCACGGGAAGGGGTCCCACCCCACCAGACTGTCTCTGCCCAGGAGTCCCTTCCCCTCATCCCTGAAGTTCCATCTGGGACAGGGAGGGGGCTTCCTTCAAACTTGGGGGCACTAAGCTGTCAGCCCCTCCTTTGGGGCGCACCGGCAGAGGGTGGTCCGATGAGCACAGCCACGGCTTCAATGAGCAGCACCAGGCCCAGTGCACTGGGGAAGCGGTGCGCACCCACGGTCGCCATGAGCACCTCAAACTGCAACGCGCCCACCATGCCGTAGGAGAGGCCAAAGGCGACGCAGAAGGCGACTAGGGCGCTATAGGAGCGCGCGTGAGCGCTGCTCAGGTCCGTGAGCCCGTTGGCCATCAGAGCCAGGCTGAAGAGGTAGGCGACATGTGGTCTCAAGGACGCCAGGCCGGCCAGAGCACCACACGCCGGCCGTGCCACGATGTCTACGAAGCCCACGATGGACAGCAGGAAGGCGGCGTCGGCATCAGGCACTCCGGAGTCCTTGGCGTAGTTCACCAAAAGGATGGCGGGAACGAAGAGCCCGAGCGCCATCAGGAATTTGGTGACAGCGTACACGGCGAAGGCACGGTCGGCGCACACGGCCACGTCCAGCAGGCGTCGCCGGCGGGTCTGGCAGCCAGGGGGCGCCGCGCGCAGGCGCAGCTCGGTGCCATCCGGCTCCCCAGGACCGTCGCCCGCGTTGTCACAGCGCGGCCGCCGGCTGGGCCCGGGGGGCGGCCGCATGACGGCGCCGCACGCGCAGCAGTGCAGCAGGAGGCCGCCGAGCAGCAGGAAGCCGCCGCGCCAGCCGAAGCTCTCGAGCAGCTGCTGGCCGAGCGGCGACAGCGCCGACAAGAACACGGGGCTGCCCGCCGCCGCCAGCCCGTTGGCCAGAGGCCGCCGCCGCTCAAAGTACAGCCCCAGCATGATAAGCGACGGCTGGAAATTGAGGGCCAGGCCCAGGCCTGCAGGCGAGGGGCGCTGTACAGGGCTGCCCGAGGGCGCCCCCCCACCCCCACCAGCCCCAGCGGGAGGGAGGGGCGGACCCCAGGGAACTAAGCCGTGGGACTTCAAGGACCGCCCCTCTTGGGGAAACAGAGGACAGAAGGCCTCCCGACTCCCACGCCACCCCCGCAGGGCAGGAGGGCGGTGGGCACCCTCACCAGTGAGCACCCCAGCGGTCAGGTAGAGCTCCAGGAGACTGGTGGCAAAGGATGCGAGGACCATGCCCGCCGACGCCAACAGTCCGCCCACCAGCATGACAGGGCGACAGCCAAAGCGAGTCACGAGGATGCTGGACACCGGGCCTGTGGGCAGGGCAGGGTCATGACACGGCCTGGGCCAGTCATCTCTCCTGTGGACACTCCAGGCTTTGCACCTTCCAGCCCGGGAAGACGGATCAGAGGGCAAAGGTCACGTTGGCTCAAAGACGGCAGTGTCTGGCCAAGGTCACAAAGTTTGGCTGAGACCGACCAAGGAGACAGCACCCTGAGGGGGACACCAGGGAGGGACCCATCCTGGGCCAGAGCCCCCACCCCCAGACCAAAGCCGAAGGGGGAGACCCCACTCCTGTTTGATCTTCACTGCGGGAACCACCGTTTGACCTGCTTTCCTCACCCAGGGCCCCAACCCCGCATTCTGCTTGGCCGGAGGAACTCCAGCAGCTCCGCGCCCCTCACAGGTGGTGAGGGCTTCCGGGAGCGGTAATCTTACTCCGACGTCAGTGTTCCCACCTGCAACCGGCGGCTGTGGGACTTGGGGCAAGAATGGAGGGGCCCTGCCGGCTGGCCAAGCCTGCCGGGTCACCGCCTGGGTGCAGCTCCACCTGCGGCCGCTGCCGCCCTCCTGCCCTCTCCACCAGCGCTTCCACAGCCCCCCGCGATGCTCAGGGGCTCCCCTGGTCCCTGATGGACCCGCAGCCCTGGGCCTGGGAGACGCGGAGGGATCCGCCAGGGGGCGCTGACCGGTGCCGTAGAGCATGGCGAGCATGACGGAGGACACCCAGGCCGTGTCGCTGTAGCCCGCACCGAAGTCGCGCATAAGCGCGCGGAAGAAGACGCTCACAGCCTTGGGGAAGCCGTAGGCGAAGCCGGTGACCACGAAGCAGGCGCCCAGCACCGTCCAACCCCAGCCGCCGTCTGGGGGGCCCTCGCCCCGCCTGGGGCCGCCAGCGCCCATCGCCGCTGCCTCTGCTGGGGGAAGCGGGGCAAGAAGGAGCGGCCAGGGTCTGTAGCTCAGGTCAAAAAGGGGGACGGAGACCCAGCGTGGGGAAACTGAGGCACGGAGCTACCCACCGTGAACCCTACTCAGGAAATGGAGCCAGGGGGGAAACTGAGGCAGGACCTCACCGTCTCCCGCCAAATTTCCCCTCCTCCAAGAGGTGTGTGGAGGATGAAGGGAGAATAATAGAGTCGTTCCCACCTGAGTCTTGGCTTCAGGAAGACGCCCTCTGGAGGGCACTCCTTGCCCCTCAGGACCTAGCGGTGGCAGGAGAGGGGTCGCGGGTGAGTGGGAGAGCCAGGCAGCCCGTGTGTGCCGCGGTGTGCACGGGCCTGCCAGTGTGCCTGCTGTGCGCGTGGGAGGGTCTTAGACAAAGGGACCGACACAGTGTGTAGCTGTGGCAGGGGAGACAGGTGACAGCTGCAAAATGGATGGGGTTTATTTCCCCTGTGATGTATTCCTAGTCTTTCTCAATGATCAGGAATGACTATTGTCATTAGAACATTATGGGGGAATAAAAACCCAAGCACTTTATAACAATGTTAGCCTTGTCTCAGAAGCCAAGGGAGCCGAGTTCCAATTCATCCCAGCCTAGGCAAGGATTTGCTCTGTGGCTTGTGACGTTCTCCTCCCCTTGCTGAGCCTCAGTTTTCCCACCTATAAGGTGGTAACTGATCTCGCTAGGCAGCCAGGAATCTTGGTGGGGGTGGCTGGATCTCTGGTTCTACTGGACAGACCTTTGTGGGGTACCGGGAGAGAGAGGAGAGAGACCTGCTTTCCAAACCTCTAGCAGCCCCTCAACCCCTCCACAAGCAGAAAATGACTCTGAAGTATCTCACCCTCCTGAAGCTCCAGCCAGGGGTTCACAGAGCAGCCCCATGTGCCCCAAAACAGATGAGGGTGGGCCCCACAGGCAAGATGGTCCAGCCCACAGCCATGGCAGGAGCCTCCTTCCCTCCTGCAGCCCCTCCAAGCCTGGGTTCTTCCTCCTGGCATCAGGCAATGCGAGGGCCGCATTGATAGCTGGGACTCTGCCCCTCCCCAACCAGCACCAGGTTCTGGCTTTTCCTGCCTGTCTTTGCCAGGGCTGCAGCCATTTGAGGACTGGGACAAGAGGTGGTCCCTGGTGGCCCTCGCCGCACACTCACCTGAACTGTCTGGTGGGTTTGCGTGCCCAGTCTCACATCTCCTGAGGCCTGCAGGGAGGGGCTGCCCACAGGCTCCCCTGTGAAGCCCAGCCTGATGGGGGTGCGCAGCGGAAGTCTCCCAGGCTTGCTTGCAGATCAGCTGCTGGCTCCACCATGGCTGGCTCCCCCAGGGCCCCCCAGGCCTAGGGCTTAGTGTGTTGCCCCACACCCACGTCATCTAAGAGGCTTTTGCCTGGGAGCAGAGAAGGGACAGGGCAGCAACTGGGCCAGGCTGGGCCCTGCAGTGGGGCACCCTGTCCCAGGCCCACCCAGCAGAGCTGCAGAGACGAGGCCTCTCCCCCTCCTGCACACTCGGGTGGAGGACACACACACCCAAGCACTGATCAGGGGGCTAATGGCGCAGGGGGCTTAGCCCTGCCTTGCAGAGACCCTGCCAGCCCAACTCATCGACTCCTCCGCTGCCCCCACCCGCAGGCCACATTCCAGGAGGGGCTTCTGTGGCTTTCCCCTGGCTAAAGCTAATCCAGCCCAAGGGATCCTGGGACTGAGGGCCAGGGAGGGGCCAGAACAAAGGGTGCTGTGTCCCAGACCGCTGGAGGGTGACTTGCTGGTGGTCCTGGACCTCACCCACTGCCACCCCTGCCCCTCTGGAGAGGTCACTATTTTCTGGGGATCCCACAGCAGTAATGAGCCTGGGCCGGAGTCAGAGTGGGAGTTGGGGAATACGGCTAGAGGGCTTTGGGACAGACAGACCTACAGATTTGCTTAAAATGTGGGATGTTGGGGGCTGGGAGTAGAAGGCCTCCCAGGGAGACCCCTATGACCTTAAAGACCTCCTGGACTCCATTCTTCATAGGTCTCCATCCCCAACCCCTGACCCTGTCCCCCAAATCAAACAGCACCAGTTCTACTGTGTGTCCACTTTATTTCTCATCTTTTACAAAAGTTAACCAGGGACGTGTTCAGCGTGGGGGGTGGAGAGGCTCCTCCCTGTTGGGGCAGAGGAGGAAGGAGGTTGGGGGGCATGAGCATGAGGTAGGCCCCCCAGGGAGAGTCCTGGGGCCCCTGGAGGGGAAGAAATGGTTCCAACCCTCAATTCTGTCTGCTTTGTTTTGAAGGCCCCAGACCCCAGGCCTTAGAGCTGCTTGGGATGGGGCTGCAGTTTGGGGTAGGGCAGCCACCCCCCGTCTCAGGGCCCCCACTGCTCGGATCCTCTGCTGCCACCAGCTTTGGGCAGCCCCTGGGCAGGTGCATGGTGGGGGCGACCTCAGACCCCTGACGGAGAAGGCACCTCAGCGGATGAGGGGCGCGGAGCGGTCGTTGGTGATGGTGGGGCGCAGCTTTACAGTGGCAAAGGGGTTCGTGCCTCTGTGGGGGGCGGTGAGGAAGGCTCAGGCCCCTGGGTGGCTGTGGGTCCAGGGGGGCGCCTGGGCTCCTGAGTCCATGTCACCCCGGCCCTATTACACACATCACCCCACCTCCCCCACCCTTGTCTGTCCCCACAGCCCTCCACTGAGCCCTGTCCCCTCTGACCCCTGCTGGCTTGAGGACTCACCGGGGGAAGAGCTCTGGGGGGTGCTGCTCCCAGGACATAAGTTTCTGCAGTGGGGGTGGAGGAAGGGCCAGGTTGGGGGCAGAGGGGCAAGCCAGCCCCTGCCTGGCTCTTCCCCATGCCAAGGGGCAGAATGGACCAGAGGCCCCTGCAGGGCCAAGCTTCTGGGAATTGAGGCCACAGCATTCTAAAGCCCAATATCCTGCAGGTGTCAGACTTGTGAAGCCTCCGGGCCAGGGTACCATCGTCCAGGGCTAACGACCGTGCCCAGGACAAAACAGGGTTGTCCCATGGGGAGATGCCCTCCCTGCCTCACATCCCTGCCCTGCCCTGGGCCAGCCCCAGCCCAGGCTCACACTCAGGACCCTGGTCTTGCCTTCCCTGGGAGGCAGGGAGGGCTGCCCTTTTCTAGTGGTCCCAGCAGGACACTTGGGGCTCCAGGCCCTAAGAGGGATGCTTCCTACCACCCCTCTGCCCCAGACCCAAAGCCCATCTGACCCCTCCCTGCAGATGGGCAAACTGGGCCGGGTGGAAGGGTCCCCCATCAGACAGCCACGGGCAGGGCAGCGAGGGTTACCTGGGCTCCAGTCCCCCTGCCTGCTGGGTGACCCCAGGGTTGAGGACAGGCAGGGGGAGGGAGCTCACCTTGACATCACCGGCCACTCCCGTGCTGCCCATGCTACTTCGGCGGCTGCCAGGCGAGGGTGTTGGAGCAGGGCTGGGGGTCCGGCTTGGGACCCGGCTTGGTGTTCGGGTGCGGGACTGGCCATCCCAGTACTCCAAGGGCCCCGTGGAATTGCCTGGTCGGTCCAAGAGGTCATCAAGGCTGTGGCTGCCCCGGAGTGGGTAGGACCTGAATCCAGAAAAAAGAAGGAAGGGAAGAGGTCAGGGGTCAGGTATTGCTGCACTGACCCCATCTTCTGGCTCCTGAGTGTCCTACAGCCTCCTCCCCTGCACATGGGAAAAAGGAGACTTGGCTTGAAGGCAATCCTGAGAGGAGGCAGAAGGATGGACACAATGACCTTCACGTGTAGCCTTCCTCTAGGGGCTGAACAGGCAGGGCTGCTAGGCAAGGGGACAGATGTAGGGCTGGGGGTGCAGCCTGGAACCTGGCTTGGGGTTCTCAGGACTGCAACTCACAGATGCCATGCCTGGTGGGTGGGGCCATGCCCACTGCAGTCCCCACCCCTGCTCACCTCTGACCACCCAGGTACCTGGAAGGTAGCTCATTCATGGGGCCCATGGAGCTCATGGAGGCCACTGGGGTCAAGGTCTTCCCGGAATTCATGGGCACCTCCTCCAAAGGCTTCACGTAGGCCTCGGGGAACCAGCCGCTCCTGCGGGGTGGAAACAGAGGTCCCCTAAGCAAAAGGCTGTGCTCAAATAACGCTTCTAAGTGAAGCAGACAATCATGGGCAGTGCTGGGTGCCAGGCCTCATGTGAAGGCTTTGCCAAGAGTAACTCATTTAATCCCTCGAACGAAGGCTTTGTTGACATTCCAGGCCACCTGTCCAGCCTCCTGTTGCACCAGGGGCTGGAGCACCTTGAGAGGAGGCGCTGGGAGCCCGAGATGGAAAGCAGTGTGTCTGAGGACATGTGGTGTCACCTCATTCCTGAGTCACTGAGCCTCCCCCACGGAGGGCTGGAGAGCCAGGCCCCATCCCTGCCCCCAGAGGCTCCTGGCCTGGCAGGAAGACAGAACCAGGGTGCGGGCAAAGGGGACAGGGCGGTTGCGGGGTGGGGGGACTACGGGCAACTGCAGGAGCCCGGAGGAAGCAGCACCGGAGCCCAGGGTGCCTGTCCACCGACCCAGTGCTCGTTCCTCCACTGCCCAGCCATTTCCCCCATCCCAGGCCCTCTAGTTCCAGGACCCCAAGCACCCTGACCTTGGGGTCTCTGCCTGGCTGCAGGCTCCCTACTGCACCTCCCCTGCAGTTGGGGTTGGGGGAGAGGCACTATGACGAAAGCTCCTCGGCCTTTTCAGGCCCGTCGGATTCCCGCAGAACACCCAGGAAAAGTCTGGGCGGGAAGCCACCCTAGATTCCCAAAGCCCAGTCAACCACGGTCTCACTTAAAGCTACTGGAAGCCATTTCAACCCAAACTGACAGAACAAAACCATTTCAGTATGTTTTCCATTTTCACCATAAAGTGCCTGTGGATAAAACCTGCCATCACTTTCCCTAACCTGTGAACCACAGGAAGAGTAATGATGTCCCAGGAACACGGTCTGAGAGCACCGGGCTAGGTGGTTTTATAATCGGGTTGCCGGAAAGTTTGCTACACACCTGCTGTGGAGGCTTTCAGGGCAGCTGAAAAGATGTGGGTCTGCAAAGCAGGGGTTTCCACAGTTCGTGTTCTTAGTCATCTCGCCACCCACCGACGCATCCCTCCATTCCTGATCTAGGTAGTCACCTGCCGTCCACCCGTCTATCCACGCATCATCCCATTCATGATCCACGTGGGCCACCACCCATGGGCCACTGGTTCGCTAATGCACCCATCAGCACTCGCCCACCTGCCTGCCCCTCCATCAGCCCACCCAGATACCTCTCCAATCACCCAGCAGTCTATGCGTGCACCTCACATCAGTCCCTGCTGCCTGCTCCCAACCACTCAGTCCAGCCCATCTACTGTCGGCTCACAGAAACACGCATCCGCCTGCCCACGCAACCACTCCTCCATCCCTCCACCCGTGTGCTATCGCTAACGCACACGGCCACCGTGTGTGCACCTGCTGGCTCCTCTGTCTATGCATCTCAATTCATGCCCCTTTTCTTGTCATCATTCATTCCTTTTCCCCTGCAACATGAGTGGGAGTGGGCATCACATAGTCTCCTGCCCATAAAGTCCTGCTGGGGGCACTGATTGGCTCCAGCAAGCTCCCACCTTCCCTTCTCCTCTGGCAGAAGGAGTGATCCCTGAATGCTCCTTGTTCTGGTGGCCAAGCCCTGCTCTCCTCTAGGCTGGCAGTGACCGCAAGGCACGCACGTTCCAGCCTCCTCCTTCCACTCACGGTGGGAAACACAACTTGCTTCGGTTCTTTAGGGAATTGCAGCTTGCGGGTCTGCAAGGAGGTGAGCCACCCTGCACGGCCTCTGTGCCTGACCTTGGGGGGGCCCAATTCCAGGTACACCAGAGCTCCGTGGACTCTGAGGGTACAGAGGGGAAGCTGCCTGCTCCCTCAGTGTCAAGCGCACAGTCCTGCTCAAGCAACAGGTTTCTGCAATGTTCCCCACTTGTAAGGAAACCTTCCCAAGAGCCCAGGGTGCCTGTCCACCGACCCAGTGCTCGTTCCTCCACTGCCCAGCCATTTCCCCCATCCCAGGCCCTCTAGTTCCAGGACCCCAAGCACCCTGACCTTGGGGTCTCTGCCTGGCTGCAGGCTCCCTACTGCACCTCCCCTGCAGTTGGGGTTGGGGGAGAGGCACTATGACGAAAGCTCCTCGGCCTTTTCAGGCCCGTCGGATTCCTGCAGAACACCCAGGAAAAGTCTGGGCGGGAAGCCACCCTAGATTCCCAAAGCCCAGTCAACCACGGTCTCACTTAAAGCTACTGGAAGCCATTTCAACCCAAACTGACAGAACAAAACCATTTCAGTATGTTTTCCATTTTCACCATAAAGTGCCTGTGGATAAAACCTGCCATCACTTTCCCTAACCTGTGAACCACAGGAAGAGTAATGATGTCCCAGGAACACGGTCTGAGAGCACCGGGCTAGGTGGTTTTATAATCGGGTTGCCGGAAAGTTTGCTACACACCTGCTGTGGAGGCTTTCAGGGCAGCTGAAAAGATGTGGGTCTGCAAAGCAGGGGTTTCCACAGTTCGTGTTCTTAGTCATCTCGCCACCCACCGACGCATCCCTCCATTCCTGATCTAGGTAGTCACCTGCCGTCCACCCGTCTATCCACGCATCATCCCATTCATGATCCACGTGGGCCACCACCCATGGGCCACTGGTTCGCTAATGCACCCATCAGCACTCGCCCACCTGCCTGCCCCTCCATCAGCCCACCCAGATACCTCTCCAATCACCCAGCAGTCTATGCGTGCACCTCACATCAGTCCCTGCTGCCTGCTCCCAACCACTCAGTCCAGCCCATCTACTGTCGGCTCACAGAAACACGCATCCGCCTGCCCACGCAACCACTCCTCCATCCCTCCACCCGTGTGCTATCGCTAACGCACACGGCCACCGTGTGTGCACCTGCTGGCTCCTCTGTCTATGCATCTCAATTCATGCCCCTTTTCTTGTCATCATTCATTCCTTTTCCCCTGCAACATGAGTGGGAGTGGGCATCACATAGTCTCCTGCCCATAAAGTCCTGCTGGGGGCACTGATTGGCTCCAGCAAGCTCCCACCTTCCCTTCTCCTCTGGCAGAAGGAGTGATCCCTGAATGCTCCTTGTTCTGGTGGCCAAGCCCTGCTCTCCTCTAGGCTGGCAGTGACCGCAAGGCACGCACGTTCCAGCCTCCTCCTTCCACTCACGGTGGGAAACACAACTTGCTTCGGTTCTTTAGGGAATTGCAGCTTGCGGGTCTGCAAGGAGGTGAGCCACCCTGCACGGCCTCTGTGCTTGACCTTGGGGGGGCCCAATTCCAGGTACACCAGAGCTCCGTGGACTCTGAGGGTACAGAGGGGAAGCTGCCTGCTCCCTCAGTGTCAAGCGCACAGTCCTGCTCAAGCAACAGGTTTCTGCAATGTTCCCCACTTGTAAGGAAACCTTCCCATTTCCCCATCCACTGCTACCACCCTGAGCTTGGCGAGGAAGCTCTTCCTACCCGGATGGAACAGGAGGCAGTGGGGGAGGGGAGAGTTGTCCCGGGCCTCAGGGCGAGGCGGGAAGTCCCAGTGGGAACTGGAGCCCAGCCTCCGGGGCGCTCCTTGCCCCCCACCCTGCGCCCCGAGGCTCCCACTCACGTGGATGAGCCCTCCAGCTTGCCGTAGAGCCAGCCATTCTGGGCCTTTGGCACTAGCACCTCCACCACGTCTCCGGCCGCGAAGCGCAGCAGCGTGTGGTTGGCGCCCTCCGAGTGGGAGACGAGGGCGCGGACTCGCCTGGTGCTGCCGCCGCCGTCCGAGCGCTCGCCGAAGGAGCTGGAGCGCGAGCGCGGGCCGCTGCTGGTGCCCAGCGAGGCTGCGGGGGGCGCGGCGGCACGTGGGCGGGGAGGCCTCCCCGAGTCTGCCCCCGCCCCCCGCTGCAGCTCCTCTCCCGGTCCGGGCCCCCAGCGTGTCCCGGGCCCGCCCCTGCGCCCGGCACTCACAGGCGGACGGCGTCCGGGGCAGGGGCCGGCGCTCTGGCTCCAGCTGGGGCGCGGACCTCGCCTCGGGGCTCTCGGGGCCGTACGAGCCGGAGCCGTGCCGGCTGCGGGGGGCGCCGAACTCTCCCAGAGGCCTCTGGGGCTGGGGGGTAGACGGCCGGGGCGGTGGGGCGGGAGGGGCGGCGCCCTAGTCCAGCCCCCACCCCCAGTCCCGGACGCCCGTGTGCGGGTTCCGGGGCCTGCGGCCCAGCCACCTCGCGGGCGCCGAGACCGCGCGGGCACGGAAGGGCCGGCCCAGGGGCGCTGCGTAGACGGGGGCCCTGGGCGGGAGGAGGCTCCAGGCGGGGGGCCCCAGGCTCCAGGGAGCAGCGGCGGGTGCCGGGGGCGGCGGGGGCGCGAACGGCGGCAGGGGCGGCCAGGGCCTCACCATGTCCAAGCGGGTGGGCGTCAGGCGGCCCGAGGGGTAGGGCAGCCCCAGCACGGGGCCCAGCAGGCCCGGTGAGGGCGCGCGCGACGGGCTGCGGCTGGCCTCCGCCTGCTCCTTCCACAGCAGCACGCGGTTCTGCAGCGTCCCCCGGGCCTGGCGGGATGGAGACACAGGGGTCAGTCAGCCAGACCTGAGCTCCCCCCGTCCAGAATCCTGTGGACCCAAAAGTGGCACCCTGGACTTGGGAACTTGAGCCCTGCGAGCTGAGGATGACCGGGATTTTCCCGCTGGAAGCAGACAAAATCACCATGTCATTTTGTGTTTCCCCACAGCCCAACCCTACCCGTCTTTTGTCAAAGGCAGAATGTATTCTGGAACAATCTGGAAAAATAGACTCTTTTACCTCATGGCGTTTCCTAAACAGATAAAGTGAAGCTAACACAGGAAATCATAAGCAACAGAGTGGCAAATTTCAGTTGATAGCATGTATGCTCCTGGATCCAGCCATACCTGAAACCCTTTAACTTCCCAGTAACTAAAGTAATAAATACCTTTCCTGTTTAAGCCAGTTTGAGTAAGGCACCTTACAGATAGTTTTTCTGGCCCATCCCTCTAATCCACATGAGCTTCCTTTTTCCAGTGTCTCCAATACATGAGTATCGAACTCAGCTTGAATCCTTTCAAGGACAAAGAACGGCGACTGACCACATAGTCCGTAACAACTTTAAATGTTAGACCTGCTGTATATATTAATCATGGTTTTAATTTTCTGTATCTTATGATGCTTTGACATCCTGGGGCCTTGCTAATCCTTCCCAAGGCTGCCCTTCCCAAGGCTAGATGATTTTTTTCTGGATAGTAAACAACTTGGGTATGAGTATACCTTTCTCATGCAAACCCATCAATGGAAAACCCATATCCCCAACCACCTCCTTTACCCACTTATACACCAAGCCAGTATTTCCCCTGCCTAAATCACTCCAGAGCAGGGTACCAGACAACTACAGGCAACCCCTATAGCCCAGAGCTCACTGAAATTATTCAAACCCTTCCATCCTAAGCTTGCTTGACCCTGCCTACCCTGCTTTGCCCATTGCTTCCCGCAGGAACCATAATAAAGGATCTGCACCGCGCTTTCCCGTCATTCATTCTGCCTCTTGACCAACCCCCGGTGCTTTCCCACATGGCCTTGCACGGCATGGTATGAACCTCTCTTGAGAACTGTGATATATAATAAAACTTCTTTCAATGGCATTGATCTCGTGCTGCCACTCAAGTGCCTGTATCAATTAAATTCCAGCTTTAATCACAACACTAGTTACAGAGGTCTCTCCCTTTTCTATTCAAACATCCCTGCCACCAAGGCCTAGCTCAAGACTGTCACTTTAGGAATAATAAAACCTTTGTTGAGCACTTACCTGTGCCAGGCCCAGTGATAAAGACTTTACCTGCATTATCTGATTTGATTCTCACAACAGCCCTGGGAGGGGGGTGCAATTATTATCACCATTTTATAGAAGATGCTGAGGGTCAGAGTAGATATTGGCTGGGTCAGGGTCTGGCGTTCAGTAAGCCGTGGAGCGGCCTCTACTAGTCCAGCCTGAGGAGGCTGCCTGTGACTGCAGCTCTTGGTAATTTCTCCCTTTAGTCTGTCCCCACTGTGGAAAACCTCATAGTGACCTCAGGGAGCAAAACAGGCTCAGAGCCTCACATCACAGGAGCAAGTAGTTCGGGAGGCCCCAAGGAGGGCACCCGCTCCGCGGCCTTGCACAGTTAGCCAAAGAGCACAAAGAGAAAACCCCAGAGGTCTTTTTTTCAGAAGTAGTGAGCAAAGTGAGACCACTGAGGTCCACCAGCTGGTGAATGGATGAATAAAGGAGGTTTATTCAGATAATGGAATATTATTTAGCCTTAAAAAGGAATGAAACACAGCTACAATATAGATGACCCTTAAAAACATGATGCTCAGTGAAAGAAGCCAGTCACATATATAATTTCACTTATATGAAATGTGCAGGGGCAAACCTATAGAGACAGAAAATAGACTGGTGATTTCCCAGGGCTGGTGGGGATGAGAGGATGGGGCAATGACCACTAAGGAGTACTGAGGCTTTTAGGGGTAATGACAATGTTCTAAGGTTGATTGTGGTGATGGATGCACAACTCTGAAAACCATTGCGTTGTACACTTTAAGTCGGTGGATGGCACAGTGTGTGAGTTGTATCTCAGGTAAGCTGTTTGAAAGAAGAACAAGCAGTCGTTCCCTAGAGGCTCACCTGGGAGAGAGGAGGGGCAGGAGAAGGCAGAGAGCGGGGCGGGGGCTGGTTGTGGCAGTGACAGCAGGAGGATGTCAGTGGGAGGTGAGATCACCCTGGCCCAAGCCGTGCCTCCCTCCCCTGGGGGACGGGCTCCACACCAGAGGGCCCTGGGTTCAGGGACAGAGACTCAGGGAGGATCCTGGCAGGCATAAGGACCCTGAGGTTGGGACACAGGAGTCCACTGCAGGCTGTTGGGTGCAGCTGACTGTGAGCAGACAGGCCTTGTGAATAATAGCTTTTGTTCTCATCTTTGGAGGGGAGGCAGTAGTGCCAGGAGATCCGAGCTGCACTGGGCTCCACAACCTTGTGAAGCAGCAGTTATTTCCCTCCTTTAACAGATAAGAAAATGAGGCTCAGAGAAATGAAATCACTTGCTAGGATTTGCAGCCAGAGGGCAGTGGCTAGGAAACTGAACAAGAATACAAAGAAATGGAAATAGAGACTAAATAGGAATGCAAAGAAATAGAAAGTAATGGGAAGAGCAATGAGGCCGGGAAGGAGGCAGAGGAGGCCTGATTGGGGCATCAGGAGAGGCTGGGGGGCTAGGGGGTGGGTGGGGGGCAGGGACCCACTCCCTCTCAGAGAAGAAATAGAGCCTCCTGACATGTCGTCAGGCTAAAAAATATTTGTTAAGTACGTGAATGAATAAACACTGACATTGGAATAACACAGGGACAAAGTCATCAATTTATGAGGGAATGGTGGAGGAACGGTGTCCCAGAGCCCTCCTTCTGCAGATCCCATAACCCCAGCTCTGGAAGGTCATCAGCGAGGCCCAGCCAGGCAGGCAGGCACATCCACATGCCAGGAAGGCTTTGCCTGTGAGGCTTTGGCCCCTGTTGGACCTCTGCAGAAGAGCACAGGATCGAACTTTGACCACGGCGGGGCGGGCAGGGCCTGGGGACCGGTACCTGAGAGGCCAGGCAAGGACTAGGGCTCTGGGCACAGGCGGTGCAGCCCACAGAGACAGCTGGGGGGTAGAACAGTGGCGAGTGGCTCTCCAGCCAACACAGTCTGCCCTAGTGTGATATAATGAGTTATAAGAAATACATATTGGAGAAATACCATTTGATTCAGTAATTCCACTCCTAGGAATTTAGTGAAGAAAACAAAATCCCTGATTCAAAAAGACATATGCACCCCTATGTTTATTGCCAAACTATCTGCAATAGCCAAGATATATGGAAGCAACCTAAATGTCCATCAATAGATGAATGGATAAAGCAGATGTGGTACATACACACTATGGAATATTATTCAGCCATAAAAAGAAAAAAAATCCTGCCATTTGCAACAACATGGATGGGACTAGAGGGTATTATGCCCAGTGAAATGAGACAGGCAGAGAAAGACAAATATCATATGATTCCACTTATTTGTGGAATATAAAAACAAAGCAAAGCAGAAGGAACGAAACAACAGTAGACTCACGGACACTGAGAAATGACCAGTGGTTACCAAGGGGGAGAGTTGGGGGGAGAGGGATACAGGGGCACAATAATTCGCAATCACAATATAAGTTGGGGAATATCATGGGGAATGCTGAACCCTTGTGATGTACATTTGAAACCAACATAAGATTGTATATTAACGATACTTTAATTAAAGAAAAAAAATGCATATTTGGTCTTCAGATGACCGAATATGTATTTCCCAGGTATGTTTGGTCTCATCCACAGCTCCTGAAAACACTGCAGAGCCTTAGAGGTGGAATGGGCGTCTTGCCATGTTAATGAGAGGCTTTTGGGCCCCACCCAAGGGCAGGGGCTGGAGGTTAAATCAGCCAATGGCCAATGACTTGGTCAATCATGACTATGCAGTGAAGCCCTCACAAAAAGCCCTGAGAAGAGCTATGGCTCTCTGGGGTCCTGCCTCTCTGACGGAGCGCTTCCATGCTGGGGAACCAGAATGCCTCCATGTGCCACCGAGTAGGCCCCAAGCTCCACAAGGGTAGAAGCCCCTTTATCTGGGACCTTGCCCTGTGTAGTTCTTCATCTGGCTGTTGACTTGTACCCTTTATTAGACTGGTAAATGTAAGTTTTTCCTGAGTTCTGTGAGCCGCTCTAGCAAAGTAATCAAACCTCAGGGGAGGTCGTGGGAACCTCTGGTCTGTAGCCAGTAGGTCAGAAGTACAGGTAGCTGCCTGGGACTGGGACTGGTGCCTGGAGTGGGGGGTGGAGTGCAGTCTTGTAGGACAGGGCCCTAACCTGGGGATCTGGTGCTGTCTCCGAGCAGATATTGTCAGAATTGAGTTGAGTTCTTGGATACCCTGCTGGTGGTCAAGAATTGCTTGGTGTTGTGTGTGGGAAGGCTCCCCTCCCACACACACGCATTGGCACTGGGTCCAGAAACCCAAAAGGAGTTATACTGTTGTGTAGAAAAGAAAACACAACTAGTGTGTTCAGCTTGGAGAACATAGCACAGGTCCTCCCCTCAACCAGGCACCCTTGTGCAGTATACAACCTGCAAAACCTTCCCTGGCAGCCCTATGTGCAGTGGTTCTCCACGTGAGTAAGCTAAATTAACCCTTATCCCTGATTAGACTGAGCAAGGGCTGATGGGCAAGAAGACCTGGGACAGAGGGGAGTCCCACTAGGGTAGAGATCGCTCCACTTCCACTCCCCTGTCCCCCAACATTTGCCAGCACCACTGCCTGAGAGCCCTTGTAGCTGAACCCAACCCAGAGTGGGAACAAGACCACGAGGAGGCAAAGGAAAGAAATAAGGCACCTAAGAGGACCCAGTGCTCAGGGAGGAGAAACCAGCCGCCCTTCCAAGTGGCTGAGATAAAGGGGTGACAAGCTTAACAAGAACTTGATAAGAGGACTTGCTACATAACAAAGACCTTCTTACCCAGACAAAGCACAGCTTTAAGGGTTAAAACTGGACAGATGAATTAAAAGAGAGAACAGTCCTGTTGAGAACAGATTGAAAGGCCTGACAGGTCAAGGCAGAGAAATATCTCAAAATGTGGAGCAAGAATGAATGAAGTAGACATGACGAGGGAGGTGGTCATCGATGTGGAGGCCCCAGTGACTGGCCTTCCAGGGGGCGAACAAGGGATGTTGATGGAGACATAATAATTAAAGAAGAGGAAACAGCTCCTCTGACCTGAAGAAAGAGATAGCAGCAGACAGAAGGGGCACCACCAGCAGCAGCCCTTCATCTAGGTCCTGAGTCCCAAGGGCATGACGAAAAGCTCCACCACCACAGAGATAGAGCCAGTTACTTAAAAGGGAAAGGAGACAGACTGGCGCCCCGCCTTAACATCTGCCACTCACAGCACTAGAAAGCAGGTGAGTGCCATCTTGGACCGCGAGAGAAAAAGCTGCAGCTCTGGAGTCTGTCAACCAGTCCACGTGCCACTCACCAGCCGGGATAAAAGCAACACACTTGCAGATGTGCTGGGACTCAGAGAGTCGCAGAAAATTCTCAGGACAGTTCTCTAGCCACACCAGTTAATCAAAACGGAAACCTCAAGACAGTGGGAGATGGACAGGAGTGGGGAGCAGTGTATCTGATCATGTGTGCGGGGGAAATACCAGCAGATGATGGCGGGGCATGGGACGCTGGTAGTAAATGTGATCTAAGTGAAGATTCTTGTACTAAGAGAGTCTGAAATGACTGGTGAGCATCTGGAACTAAGAGTCCTGAAGTCTCTTGATAAAACCAAGAGCTGGGGGTCAGGGGGGCTGAGGCAGGAGTAAAATCTTTCCCAAGGCCTCATCCTAGAGCCTCAGGGAGGGCAGAAAGAACCTCCCCAAGGCCTCATCCGATGGGAGGAGGGAAGCAAGGACCAAGTAGTGTCAGGGGGGTGTCAGTATTTTTTGGAAAAGATAATAGACAAATATATGTGATTATGAGGGTCACAAAGTGAGGTCAACATGAGTAGAGATGAAAAGAAAACAGTAGAATTTCTAAATTGATAAAGAGGAAAAGGGAATGTGTAGAAACTCAACCAAACTGACAAGAACAATAATGGGAGAAAAAGAGGAAATGATAAAGTAAATACAGTTAACTCAAGTTATCCAGAAAGAATAAAACAGGCATATTGGCTGTGGGGTTAGATGGGCATGTTCTGAATTAGTCTATTAGACATAGACTGTCAAAGTGGTCAAAAGTAAAAACTAAGCTCTGTTTGCAACAGAAAACACTTAAAGAAATAAGAGAAAGTAGGAAGGGCAATATTAATTTCAGAGAAAGTGAAATTAAAATCATCAGGCTGAATTATGACAGACATTAAGTACACAAATGGCAATAGTTACAGAGAAGGTATAATAGTCAAAAACTCAACAGCACTGAACAACCTGCAGCTAAATACAGAAAGCAAAATCCTTTAGAATTCCAATGAGAATGAAAGAATCTTATTGGTCTCACAGATAGAACATAGCAAGGGCATAGAGGATTTAAATAATATGGTAAAATTAATAGACAATAATTGAATAAGCTTATGAATTAGTTAATTTGTGAATGGTGAGTATATGCAAGCGGGAATGAAAAAATAAATTGTTCATACATGAATGAATAAATGCATGAATTAGGGAATAAATACAAGAATAAGCAAAATCATGAATGAATAAATGAGTAAGTATCTCATGATACAAATAAACACAGAAACTATAAGCAAAGAAGTGATGGGGAGAGTAAATAAATAAAACAAATATCTACAGAGAGGAAGGAAAGGAGGGCAAAGGGCAGAAGGGAGGGAAAACCCTGTGTGCCGCCGGTCACAGGGGCACAGCCCCTAGAAGGGCTCTACCAACTGTCCCCCAGCCTCAGCTCACCCGGCCAAAAAACTGCAGGAAGGTGTTGGAAAGCAGAAGATGCTTCTCAGCCAGGAAACGATACCGCCGTTTCTCTTCCAGTTCAGCCACCCGCTGACTCTCAGACACGAAGGCCTGCATCTGTGCGTGCAGCCGGTTCACGCTTTCCTGGGCAGCAAAGGAATTCTGGCTGGAGGCAGGGGGTGGGTGATCATCCCACCCACCACAAGATCCAGCTGTCCAAAGCCTCCCTATCCTTCCTGAGCCAGCCACCTCCTCCTGGAGGCCCCCCGGGGCTTGGCCTCTCCCAGGCATCCTCATCCTCATGGACCTGGGCTCTGCGTGCCCCTTGGCTCAGGCACTTCTCATAGGCCAGGCTAGTGTCTGAGCCATCCTTCTGTCCCCAGCACCCAGCCTGGAGCTGAGCACAGAGGTGGGGCCTAGGGAGGTTGGTTTAATCAAAGTGTGAATTAGTTGGCTAATAACCCCCTACTTTGGAAGGAATATTCTGAAGAAGAGAGAAATGAGCTATTAAAGGAGCCAGAAGAGGAGACAGAGGCCAGGGATGCGGCCCTGAGTTAGGAGGATGGCAGGCCTGAGCCAGGGGGCAGGATACCCTGCAGGCAGGAGGGTGGGGAAGGATGGTGGACCTGCCAGGGTATTACACCTTTGCTACATGACCGGGAGCAGCAGACTGATGGCCTCAGGGTTTCTCAGTTAAGTAAAAGGTGGGGAAGCCTGAGATGCCCACCCTAGCAGGGGCTGACTGGCCTCTCCAGCTGTGCTATCCACAGAGGGTGGACAAGCCGCACTCCTGTAATTGTGCTGGGCCTGGGTGGGGGAGCTCAGGAGGATGTCCAGGGGCGCTCCCAGAACCTGGGTCCTGCCCCAACCCTTGCACCTTCATCTCCCGTGCATTCTTGTCCCTTTTGCGCTCCATGCGCCACAGTTCAGACATGCACTTCTCCAGGTTGGCGGCTCGGTGGCGGTACTCCATCTCATAGTGCTGGCGGCTGTCCTTGGGTGGGGTGGAGAGAGGAGGGAGGCCCCATGTCAAAGAGCTCACGACCCTCAGCCTCTGGGTCAGCTCCAGACAGGGGTCTGGGGGCTCAGCTGCGAGTGTGCATGAGCTGGGGCCAGTCAATGCCCAGGGCAGGTCTCAGTGTGGCCGTCTGTCATATGGGGAGAGGCACTCCTGCTGGGGACCCGAGGTGGGGCGGCCAGACTCACTTTGATGAACTGCATGTCCAGCTTGGTGTTCTTCTCCATGTGCTGCAGCAGGTCTCCATGGAACGTCTGCACCTGTGTGGGACGCAGGGCAGGGGTTACCAGAGTGGTCCTATCATTCCGAGGCCCCAGCATCCCTTGCACTGCCCACTCCAATACATCGTTCACTAAGTTCTTCACACATGAGGCACCTGCCCAGTCATAACAGAAATGGGCATAATACGAGAACCTGGTTGGAGGGAGGATTAAGCAATTAAACATGCAAAATATTTAGTGCAGTTTCTGCTTCAAAACACACCCTCAAAAAATATATCAATGTCCTCTTAGTCTGTGTTTTGATTATGCTTTTACCTTCACCTGGAATTTCCAGTCTTCAAAAACCGGCTTCCCTGGCCCTCTGCTGGCAGGCCTTCCTGGCCTCCCCAGCCAGAATCCATCACTCCCTCATTTTGTTTCTGGAATATGTACACATTTGTTCATTCATTGCCCATCCCTCCAGCCTTAGGAGAGAATTTCTGGCCTGGCTCCTAGTCACAGCCCCTCTGTAGGAGCAGACAGCTGCTTCAGGCATGCGCCAAGTCTGGCCCATCTTTGTGCTCCTGATACCATGGGCAGGGCCTGGCCCAGTAAAAGCGCTCAGAACTGTTGAGACCTTAGCTGGGGGTGGCAGGGTCCCATGACAGGTGAAAAGGAGCAGCTGACCACCTAGGCGACCAGGGGCTGGCATGCTGAGACGATGCAGGAGAAAGTGGGACTGTCACCAAGGTGGTCATGGGAGGGGACGCGACTTGCCCCCAGCTGCGACCCCTGGGAGGCTGGGAGTTTGGTCTCCAGGGAGGCCTGGGTGCAGGAGCTCTTTTAAAATGTTCTTAAAATGCAGCCTAGCTGGCTCTTGCTGTCAGCACAGCAGTCGAGTTGGGGGCTTTTCCCTTCTCCTAATTGTGTTCACCCTACCCCACTCCTCTTGTCTAGGAAACATCACTTATGAACAAGCCACGTTCCATGTCATATGTTATCACTCCTGCTTCCAGTTGCGTGTGAACTGAGTCAGGATACAGACCCAGGGCGCTCCCATCAGGTGGGGCCAGGGCACCACTGGGTTAATGGACTGTCTTCATCAAGCTTCCGAAGAAATGGGTCTATTAAGAGGTTGATATTGAAGGGAACTTGAGCTCTTGCTGTGGGGGAACCAGAGGACAGTCAGTAGAGGCTAATTAGCAGGTGGCTTCTGAAACAAGGAAGTCACCAACCCCAGGGCTGCCTGAGGACTTCCCAGCAGGTGAGAACAGAGACTTGCTGTCCCCTCTCCTGGGCACAGGCTTCATTAGCAGGTCCTGTCAGCTCCTCAGTGCAGAAGCCGAGCACAGACCTGCTGCTGAGAACATGCACTCTAGGTTTATGTATCGAGTTATCCCAGTAACTCCCAAGTAATTCTTCTGTCATCTATACAAGGAACACCCACCCCATCTGGCCTCAACAGCATTGTCTCTGTGGGCTGACCCCAACTCCTCTCCTCCCATTTGCTCTTGAATCCCCTCCAATCAAGCTATGCCCCATGGTGCAGACAAGAATGGTTTTGCCGAAATCACGGAAACCCCACGTTTGCTAAGTTAATTTTCAGGACTCATCCAATGGGTGGCACCGTTGTCACTGGATGTGGTTGACTATTCCCTCCTCCTCAAACACATCCCTCCGTCGGCTCTAGGCTCACCACCCTCACCTGGTTTTCCTTGCATCCTCTGGCCACCTCTTCTCTGAACTTTGCTGATGCCCTCTTCTCTCCTGATCCCCTAAGGTTGGGTTGCGCCAGGGCTCAGGCCTAGGGCCTCTTTCCTTCTCTATCTACACCCACTCCCTCAGGGAGTTCGTGCTGTCCATATGCTCACAACTCCCAGACATACAGCCCAGCCCAGAGTGCAACCCCAAACTTCAGTCTCATACATACAATCGATGATCCCACATTCTGATTAGTTCTTTAATCAAGCATCTCAAACTTAGCATGGCTAAAACTGATCTCTCCCCTCTACCCGAACAAACTGCTCCACAGTCGAGTTTTCCCATCTCAGCTAATGGCAACTCCACCTTTGCAGTTGCTCAGGCTAAAACCTTGAGGCTTTAGCCTTTCCTCTTTCTTTGGCAACTGACGTCGAACCATCAGAAAAGCTTATTGTTTCTACATTCAATCTGATCTCTTCTCACATCACCACCACTGCTGCCGCCCTTTCCCAGGCCATTATCTACCCTCCCCTCGATTATTACGACAGCCCCCGAACTGGTCTTCCTGCTTCTGTTTTTGCGTCCTGCTGCTGGTATTATATTCTTAGTGCAGGAGCCAGAGTGGTCCTACTACAATATAAGTCAAACAGTAACGATTGGAGAGTGAAATTTAACCTAACCTCAAAAAATATCAAATATCTAGGAATATATGGATCAAAAGATGTGCAAGACCGCTATACTGAAAATGGCAAAACATTGCTATGAGAAAGAAATAAATGGAGAGATATACCATGTTCCTGGAGCAGAAGACTCAATATTGTTAAGATGACTGTTGACGTACAGAGTAATGCAATCCCTATCAAAATTCTAATAGGGTTTTTTAAAGAAGTTGGCAAGCTGATTCTGTAATTTATATGGAGATGCAATGGATCTTGAATGTGTGACAATTTTGAAAAAGAACAAAATTCTCAGACTCCTTGATTTTAAGACTTACTATAAAGTTATAATAATTCACACAGTATGGTATTGGTGTAAGGATAGACATACGAATCGAACAGGGTAAAGAGTTCAGGAACAGACCCACACTTACATGACAAATTGACTTTTGACCAATATACCAAGTTAATTCAATAGGGAGAGAAAAGTCTTTTTAAAATGGTGCTGGAAGAACTGAATATCTGTATAGGGGAAAATGAACCCTGACTTTATCTCACATTATACATTAAAATCATTTTGAGGCAAATCATAGAAATAAAGGTAAAGCCCAGAACACAGGGCTTCTATAAGGAAATTTAGGAGGATATTTTTGCCCTGGGGGTGGGTAGGCAAAGATTTCTTGGATAGGACACAAGCACAAACCATTTAAAAAAGTTCCCAAATGAGTAGAGGCAGAGCCCACAGGTGTTCTTTTGGCTTTTTTTGGTTAGTGGTATAGCATTAATGCCATGAATTGTAAGGAGTTTACTGAGTTCAAACAGATTCTATCTCCTTTTTTTGTAAAATGAAAAAATTAAAATAATAAAGTAGCCAAATTGGGTTTCATAAGAATTTTTTCTGCTCATGAAAGACACTACTAATAAAATGAACAGACAATTTACAGATTAAGAAAAAATACATATATGACATACACATATCTGACACCATATATCTGACAAAAGACTCATACTTTGACTGTACAAAGACTATGTGTAAATCATTAATAAGTATAACCTTATAACAGCTAAAACAAAAAGGCTGACAACATCAAACATTAGCAAGGATGTAGAGTAATAGCGATTTTTCATATACTGCTAGTGGGAAAACAGACTAGTACAAGAACCTTGGAGAACTTTTTGGTGATTTCTAATAAAGCTAAATAGATGCCAACCCTATGACCATAAATTCTACTCCTAGATATGTATCCAAGAGAAATGAAAAGATACCTACACAAAGACTTGCACAAGAATATTCACAGAAGCCATATTCATAATAATCCAAAACTGGAAACAACCCAAATGAACATTGATACAAAAAGAGACGAACAGATTGTGGTATATTCATTTGATGGGATACTGAGCAATCAAACAGAACAAAGCGACAATACATGCAACAGCGTGAATCAGTCTTACGGGCTTTATACTGAATGAAAGAATCAGGACCCAGAGGAATACATACTGTTCAATGAAATTCAAAAACAGGTAAACTGAATCTCTATGATAGAAATCGGAAAGTGGTTGCCAAAAAGGAGGAAAAGTTTTTAAATGAAAAGAAACAAAAAGGTATTTGTGGGGGTGGGGCGATGAAAATGTTCTAAAATTAGGTAGTGGGAATGGTTTCAAAAGTCTGTGAATATATTAAAACTTCTTAATTGCACATGTTAAAGAGGTGAATTTTAAGTTGATATAGATATATAATATATATATCATATATATTATATATATCATGGATATTAAACCTATATCTAGACATTAAATGATAATATCTAGAAGTGGGAAAAAAAGAAACAAGGGAAAAGGTAAAAATACCTTAGAGGAAGAAACAAATAGTGAAGATAGGCTATGAAGATCTAACATATAGACAATAGGTATACATGAAGAAGAAATATAAAAAAAGAAAAAAAATTCTAAAAACTATACTTCAAGACAACTTTCCTGAAATCATAACAGAAATATTTGAAACTACATACTGAAAGGGTATACCAACCACATAACTAAGGATATTGACTCAGATCAACAGTAAAACATATCTAGAAAAATTGCTGGACTTAAGAAAAAATCTTCTGGGCATCTAGGCCAAAAATGTAAGTGATTTATAATGAAAAAAAAATAGATAATCAGTCTTTTCAACAGCAACATTCAACATTTTATCTCAGAAGGTGAATATATTTAAGATCCCCAGAGAAAGAGAGAGAGAAAGAAAGAAAATGTGAGCCAAGGATTTTATATCCAGTAAAACTGACTTTCAAGTATAAAAAGAACAGAGTATTATCACCATGCCAGACTCAGAACATGGTTCACACGAGCACTTCCCTTAGGGCCTATTACAGCATAAAACTTCCGACGACCAAAATGACCAGCGAGAATTGGTGGTGAACATTCAATAGGCAGTTATGTGTAGAATGAAGATTCATGAAGGCTGAGTGTGCAGGGGGTGGGGATGCCAAGGTGTGTAACGGCTCTATGTTCTGGGAATGCAGACATGGCACAACTATTTCAGAAATGGAGGGAGGATGGGAAAAGCAAATGCAAAACACATTTTAACTGTTTATGGAAATTATGTCTATGGTGGTAGAATTGATACTGTTATCTAGAGACTGTTGTAAAAAGCAAAGGAGTAAGTGAGGGATATTCTAATTCTTTTATTCTCTGTATCCTTGAGAATCAGGATTCTCGATGCGAAGCAAAGGAGATACTGGTGTCATACAGAAGAGGTTAAGCGAAGCAAGACAGCAAGGAAGCCGTCGAAACCGGTGGGGTCGCGCCGGAAAGGCTCAGGGGCCAGGCCGAGGGGGCCTCTCTCTACTGGCTGAAGGGGGGACATTGTCAATTTCAGTAAAGACAATAATTACAGAAACATCAACGATGCTTCAATCTATGATACTGATGAGACAAAAAAAAACTACAGTAACGGTTCTAGTAAAAAATTTAATGTAACCTTCAGAGCATGACAGGGAGCAAATTCAGGACATTCAAGGCTGGTAAGTAAAGGGAGTGAATAAGCCTTTCCCCCGCCTTTCCCATGGAGAACATGCCACTGGGCAACAAACAGTAGATAAGGAAAAGAGCTTCTGTGTAGAGACATTCCAGTTAGTAAGTGAAAGAACATCAGAATAGCAGCATTTCCTTAACTTCCAATGTACCAATGGAGCTGGAGGCATTGGGCCTCGGCCGCTGTGAATATCCCAGTACACACAGCAGGCAGGACTGCCTGCTGGTGGCCGAACCCAGCGCTCCCTCGAGTCTTGCCAACAGGGTGGGACCTGAGTCTGATCCAGAGGCCAAAGGACCCAGCTGAACTGCGCCAGGAATGTGCCGTCAGCAGCTTCCAGACTGCGGGGAGACCAAACAGCCAAAAGGCCTGAGGGCCTTCAGCAAACTAAGGGAAGAAGGCATGGAGGGGGGCCGGGAGATTGAGAGGCTACTACACGTTTTTTCTTTTTTTAAAAAAAGAGCCAACCAAACTCCTGTGTCTGGGATGGGCACGTGGGTGACCAGTTTCAAAGGACAAGGAGGAAGTGTCTAATCAGGGGTCACCTTTAGAGGGAGGGAGGGGCTGTGGTACTGATGGCAGCACAGGGAGGGGCATTTTGCAGGGTGTGGGCTGGCACAGTTCTTGACCTGGGGGGTTGTTTCAAAGGTGGTTTGCCTTATAATGATTCAGTCAGCTCTAATTTGTTCAGTGAGGTCTTCTGTATCCACATTTAGCTGTGCTCATTGCTTTACTCAGCACACTCAGAGGAACGGCCGGAGTCCCAGCAAGGCCACACGCCGGCCCTGTCAACGGCCGATCATCAACTCCACTCACCCTTCTGCCCCCATCCAGTCTCGCCTCTCAAGGCTTTCTGAGTGCTGCTCCCTCTGCCCGGAATGCTCTTCCTGAAGATGTCTCCCTGGCTAACTCCCTCACCCTCCTCAGGTCTTTTCTCAACGTCACCTTTTAATGCGTGCTGATTCCCTTAAGAACCTGTTAAAAATTTCATCCTTCCAACAGCTCCCATCCCCCTGCCATATTCCATTTTTCCCTAGAGCATATTTTGACTCTAGCCTATCACATATATAGTCACTTATCTGTCTGGGATTTTGTCAGTTTCCCCTCCTGGAGAGGAAAGGGATTTTTGTCTGCTGTGTCTCCAGTGCCTACAGGAAAGGGATTTTTGTCTGCTGTGTCTCCAGTGCCTACAACAGTGCCTGGCACATGGCAGTAAATAGTTGATGAATGAATGAGCCCAGGGGTAAGGCAGCCTCTGGCCTGTTCAGCCCCACACGGTTCTGGCTGCAGGCTCTCCCAGTTGTCACACCCAAGATACCGGTGCCCAGAGAGAGGAGCTCTCCTTACAGAGGCTGCCTGGGTGACAGTCATCCCTGCCCAGACCAGGTGTGCCACAAGTGACATGGAGAGCCATCAAACACAGGCGAGGAATGATAGGAAGTCAGAGGCTCTATAACTCGCCGCCAAACCCCAGGAGGCAGCTCCCACTCACTGCTGCATCTCAAAGTGTCCAAGAGACAGCCCGGGGGCCGCAGTTTCATCATGGATACATATTTTCTGCTGGCAAAACTGTTTCGCATTTCAACATAGTACCCAAACTGGTAAGTATTTGTGCTGCCCACCAACAACACCCTGAATTTCAGGGCTTCCCCCACATGCATTTGAGAATCATGTATTGTCACAACCAGTGACATTTCCCACTGAGCTTGCCAGGGCCCCTCCCGGCCAGGCCCCACCCACTCTCCACGCTGCTCCACGTCATGCTCACGCACAGGCTCAGCCGCGGCACCCTCACGGGGAGCCCTGGCTTCCCCTCTCCATCTGGCCAAGCCCCATCCCTTTCCAAAGTTTACCCTTTCCTTCCACAGTCCCTGAAGCCTGGTTCAGTGCCAGGCCCCAGCCCAGCCCTGGCAGAGCACCCCGTCTTGGCAGGGATGGAGACAAGGGGGTGAATTCTACTTCTAATCATCATAGCTAAGTTCTGGTGAGGGCTTTGGTGCCAGGGTAAACGGTTTCTTCTTATTAATTCACTGAATCCTCACAAGACTCTTATGAGGCAGTTAGATCGTCTCCATTTCAAAGACAGATACACTGAGGCCCAGAGAGGTCCAGTAGCCTGTTCCAGGTCATAAGTCAGTCCCTGGGGGAGCTGAGCTTTGAACCCGGGTGCTCTGGCTGCAGAACTCGCTCTCTTAACCACCGTGTGCTAAGAAGGGGTGGAAGCATCTGCAGGCATCCAGAGGGAGGAGGGATGAAACCTGCCCAAGGGTCAGGGGAGTCTGCATGTGCTGGACAGGCTGGTGGGATGTGGGGGGTGGGAAGGGTCTGGGCCGTGAGAACAGTGTAACAGCAGCCCAGCCCTGGGAACGCCAGGCTGTGTCTGCAGAGGGCAGCTCTTCAGGGTGGCTGGACTGTGACTGGGGGGCACCACAGGGCCTGCAATCCCTCCCTGAGGGGACTTCTGTGGGCGGCAGGGGCATGGATGGGTTTTTCCTGTGGGTGTGACCAGCAGACCACTGGCTGCTCTGTGGGCAGGAGGGAGTGGCAGAGGCCTGGGCCACAGGCACCTGGGTGATAGGCCTTCATCTTCCTCGCTCCTCTCGCTGGGATCTGGGGTGAGTGACTCAATCTCTGGGACTCGTTTCCTCCTCTGTGAAATGGAGACAGGAATGGCACCTGCCTCCCTGGGTTGCTGGCAGCTTGAATGGGACACGGTAGGGAAATGTGCCCAGCAGAGCCTGGCCCTGGCAGGGGTCTGCTGTCGTGTCACTAAGGGCCCAGGACGTCCTCCCTGAGAGAGGATATGGGAGGTCGGGCCCTTGTCTTCCTTGGAACGTAGCCCAGTCTCCCGAGTGACCTCTCCAGGCCATGGGGCCTGATACTCACCACCACCTCCAGGTCAGAGTTCAGGTGTCGCTGGGTGTCTGACATCTGCACCAAGATCTCACCTGGAGGCAGGGAGAGCAGAGGCTTCAGTGGAGGCGGCCTGTGGAAGCTGCCAGGGACGGCCCAAGCTGGATTCTGGGATCAAAGTCCAGGGGGTTCCCATATGGCTCTGGGCGCTTGTCCCTGCCCTGGAACAGCCTTGCAGGGAGTGGTGGGGAGGGGCTTGGGCTCCAGAACAGAGGACCGGGCCCTGGGCTGCCAGGCCCATATCTGGAGGTGGTGGGGATGACACTTTTGGGAAGGGAAAGGCATGAAGGGAGACCACCCGGGAGCCAGGGATGGTAGGCAAGGCCAGCCGTGGGCGAGGGGAGGCACCAGGGAGACAGGCATGGGGGCCTGGGTAGCCGGAGACCTGGAGGGAGGCAGGGCCATCAGTAGGGGCCCCAGGCCCAAGAAGAGGTGGGAGTGGGGTGGGCCTAGGGCAGAAGGGGAGCCTCACCCAGGATCTGTGAGGTGGAACTCCGCAGGGCCTGCTCCCCAATCTTCTGGATGGCCTTGAAGTATACCTCAGCTGCCTCAGACAGGGCTGCACGGGGAGAAAGGCTGGGTCCGGCCCTGGCCCCCCTCCATCTGCACCCGCCCTCTGGGGGCCCCCACTTTGTTAGAAGAGAGTGTGGCAGGGAACTGTGGGATCTGGCGTAGGGACGTGTGTGTGTGTGGGGGGGTGCTCCAGGTGGTATGTGTTATGTGGCATTGGCCAGAGGAGAAAGGGACACGGAACAGAGGACAGGGCCTAGGACAGCTGCGCCCAGCACAGGGCCTGGTGCTGAGCAGGACCTCGGCATATGTCATGGGCTGGGGTGCAGGCATCTGTGTGTGTCCATGGGAGGGCGTGGGCAGGGCTGTAGGTGTGTGGGTGAGGGGCCACTCAGGTGCGGACTAACAGCGGTATGTAAGGCTGGGGGTGCTGAGAGGCCTGGGGCAGCAGTGGGTTCCCTGACAGCACCAAGGTAACAGGGACATGTGTGCGGTTGCAGGCCTGCCCTGGAGGAAGCGGGCCCAGAGGTGTGGGTGTGAGGGTCTCTGGCCACAGGGCTGAAGGTGAGGGTGGAGGGTAGGAGTGTGCACAGGTGAGGGGGTGTATGTAGGGGAGTGTCTGATGGGGGTGCAGAGATACGGGTGGGCACAGGTGTCTGCACGGAGGGGCCAGGCGGGCGGGGTGCTGGGGTGCCCCACAGCAGGCACTTACCGTGGAAGGCCCGGAGGTAGTTGTGCCCCAAGCACACCAGGTTCTCCAGGGCAGGGTTGAACTGCCCCATGATGCTCTGGAGCCGGAGACAGAGTGAGGGGGAGTGGAGATTGGGAGGAGAAGAAGGAATGGCGGGCGGAGGCAAGTCACCAGGCTCAGGGGCAGGGCACCCGCAGCCCCGGTGAGAAGCCTCAGCCTAGGGGACCCACCTAGACACCTGGACTCACCCCGAATCCTGGCTGCTGGCTGCAGAGGCCCCAGAGCCCATCCCTGGGGGCCCTCTTCCAGGCCTGGGTCCCCTTGGCCAGCTCCCACTCACACACCCGCCCCGGGGGGCCTGCTCCCAAGACAGGGTACCTGGAAGGCTTCCTCCCCACTCTGGGTTGACGCCTACGGTTGGTCACAGCACCCAGCCGCATGGGGCTCAACCCTGCCCGGAATCCAGGCCTCACGGGGCTGGACACATGGGCTGCCAACACCTCAGGGGCTAGGACAGATTTTGCCCTCCTCAAAGAAGAACCCCTTGGGAACAAGGCTGTGGCGGGGTCCCTGGCCTCCCTGGGCCATGGCCAGGGGAAAGCACCCTGGGTGGTGGAGGCAGCCCTGGACCTGGACTTAGACTTGAGTCTTGGTTTGAATCCCAGCAGCCCCTCTTCATCCTCAGTGACTTTGAATAAGCTGTTTAACCTCTCTGGCCTCAGTTTTTCCATCTATCAAGTGGCGTGATTATTTTCTGCCTCACAGGTGGGGTGTCCTGAGGCTTACATGTGAAAGGGTCCTGCACACAGGAGATACCCAATAGGTGCAGCAGCCCCCATGGAGTGAAGTAGGAAGTCTGAGTCAGAAACGAGAGACGGAGCCACAGAGACAGGGAAACAGACAGACACACAGAGACCCAGGGATGAAGAGACAGAAACTCCCCACTCGTGGGCCAGGTGGCTGTGTGGGACCCCTGCGCCCAGCGATAGCCACCCGGGGCCTTGTCCTGCCGCACCCGGAGTGTAGGAGTTGGGGCTGGGGCTGAGTGCTGCCTGGGCAGGCCTGTCACTGGGGGACTGTGAACAAATTCCCACCCTGGGAGCCTCAGGTTGGGGCTGGGATGGCCGATGCCCCGGGATCCCCAGCCCCATGCCCACAGCCCAGACCAGCCTGCCTCCCAGCCTTTTGTTCCAGAACATGCTGCAGCCATGCTCTCTGTCTTCCAGGGCTGGGCCGACCTTCGAGCCGTGGCCGGGGCCGCTCGGGCCTGGGCCTGGTCTATGCCTGCACTCACCTTGTAGATGGCTATGGTGGACCTGTAGAACTGGTCCATCTCGGGGGCCATGGAGCAGGCTGCACCCAGTTGCTGAGCAGGGGACTGCTGGTGCTGGCGGGGCCGGTGATTGGTACCCTCCCGTGCCTGCTGCCCAGGGGGAGTGAAAGAAGCCGCACAGTGGGACCCAGAGATGGAGCGCCGGCCAAGGAGGTGGTGGCTTAATTATTCACCAGCCAGGGATGTCAGAATGTGATCTGGGGCGTAACCGGACCCGGTGGGGAAGGCATCCTGTGACGCAGGCAGGTTCCTGTGACCTGTCCTTCAATTATTCACCCCTCTGGTGGGCACCCATGGAGGGGCTACTCTCCTAGGTCAACTCCTCCTCGAGGATGAGCTTTCCCCAGGCCTCCTGACCTGGCGCTGGGTCCCCCCACCTCCTGCCTGCCTACACCGGGCACTGCCCACCCTACTAGACTGGAGCTGCTCAGTGCCCTCCCCTGGGGCCCTCTCTGACAGACCCAGCCCCTGGAGGTGGGACACACCCATGGGCCATCACTGTTCCCGGGCCTCTTCTCTACCCTGAGCCCCTCAGACCCGCACAGGGAGGGCCAGGGCTCCCGTGTGCGTGGCTGCCTGCCCAGCTCCTCTGCATGCTGCACAAACCCTGGAGTCACGCAGACCTGGCGGCAGTCCTTGGCCCTGTTCACTCACTGCGAGACTGCCCATGCCCTCCACCTTCTCTGGGTCTCATCCCCTTCCCCTTGCAAATGGGGCCCTCCTTTGTCCTCCACTATGGGGCAGGTAGGCCTAGCTGCCGCCTCTGAACACCCTCACAGGCCTGATTTGGGGAGGCCTAGAGAAGAGGTGTCCCCAGGTCAGGGAGCCCAGGAAATTATTGTCTATCGAGTGGGCACAGGAAGCTGACAGTCAAGGCTGAAGGTCATGGCTAGGGGGGCTGGAGTGAGTGCACACACCACCAGTGAACTGGAATCCGTTTATTTCACAGTTTGCAGCAGCCCCTGGGGGCCCTCCCATGCACAGCCAACTTCCTGTCTGGAAGAATAATGTGAGGTCCCAGCAGTGACCTTTGAGAGATGAGGAGATTGCACCGGGTGGGGTGGCTCTGAGGGGTGCAGGTGGCTGGGTGTGTGTTGAGGGGCAAAGTCAAATGGGGCACCCCATTCCTGGAGCCTGGGTTTCCCTTACTGTGGGGTGGGTGACAGCTGGTTTCTCTAGCTCCAGCCCTAAAGATGAGGACAGAGGGCAGAAGGGGTCACTGCCCCCCCCCAGGGTACCTGGAATTGCTGATCCTCTGGGACACACCAGGCAATCTAGTGTTTGAGCTGACCGGGCGAGGGCCTGAGAGTCAGTTATCCTTAGCAGCTGGGAAAGGGCCCAAGTGAGGCTCTAGGCTTTCTAACCCCAGAATGACAGAGTGACACAAGGCAAGGGAAGAGGGGAGAGAGGCCTCCAGGACCAGCCTCCTGCCCTGAGGCCCAGTCTGCACGGGTGCCTAGGCCATGCTCTGCCCATCGGAGTAGTGGCTGGGCCGCGCCTGGCCTCCCCAGCTGGGACTGGGTGGGTGGAGTGACTGGGGCAGCTGGGGCCTGGTGGCCTCATGGCGAGAGCAACAGCTGGATGAGCTTCTGGAACTGCTCCCGGTGCTCATAGATGTAGACCTCAGTCTCCCAGAGGGCGCCGACCAGCACCGTGTCGCTGACCTCATCCAGCATGATGTCCACCCCCAGCTGGGGGTTCAGTCTGTTTGGGGTGAGGAGAAGGGGTCACTCCAGGACACTTGGCCTGGGTTGTGGATAGGAGTTAGGACTGGGGTGGGCACAGAGCAGCCCTGTGGGGAAAGAGAATGTCCACACCAAGAACTGGGGTGGGCAAGGTCGCCGGGTCGGCAAGGCCAGGGCTTGGGGCTAGGGCCCAGGGTTGCGGCGGGCCGAGCGCTCACCTGAAGTACTGGATGCCGACCATCTCACACCAGGCCCGGGCCCGGTCCACTGCGCGCCCATCCGGGTCTGTGCACTGGTGAGCAGCAGCCTCTGTGAGAATCCAGCACACGCCACACCCACAGCCCCTGCCTGGGGGTCCCCATGGTCTAGCCTGGCTCAGCCACCCACCAGCAGAGTGGCTGGGCAAGCCCCCCTCCCTGGGCTGCGGTGACTGTCCCAGCTGTGTAATTAGAGGGGCACAGTGGGGGGCTTCCAGGTGGCTCAGCAGCACCGGGGTGTGTGATACAGGCAGGGGCAGCGTGCACGGGCCTCCGCGTCCCCACCCCTTGCAGCATTTGTCCAATACTCTGGGCCTCCACATAGGTGTCTGGAGGAAGGGATTTAAGCTGGAAGATGCTTGGAAACCCCAGTGTAGGTGGTCACTGAGGGTCCCTCCAACACCGAGACGCTAAGCCAGACGCCCTCCCCTGAACTGGCTGCCGAAGCTCAGCACTGCCTCCCTGACACCCACGGGAGGAGGATGAAGGCCTCATCGGGGGAAGAGTGTCTGGGGAGGGGCCCCTACTCACACAGTCCACCACCATCTTGCCCAGTTCCTTGGCCCCAAACACTGTCTTGGCCAGTTCCCAGGGGTTACTGGGGCGGAAGACATCCACACAGGTCACGGGCACCTGCGGGGACTTCCCCGTCCCCAGAGAGACGACAATGGAGAGTTTCTTCACCTTGTTGCCCTGACCCTGTTGGGGACAGAACAGGGGTGGTTGGGGAAGCCCTTCCCCAGGGGCACCCAGAGAGGAGAGGCCCACAGCTGGGGCGCTGGGGAGTGTGAGGAGGGCGTCGGTCCTTCTACAGCCCGAACTCTCTCCTTTCTCCGGAACAAGCTGTGCAGCCAATGTGCTGGGCCCCCTCGACGAGTCACCCCCACCCCGATATCCGGAGTCCTCAGCTCCCCACAGCAGGGAGGTCTGAGCAAGCTTGCCTCTGTCTTTGAGCCCCTCCTGCTCCGGGACGCCCGTCCTGTCCCGTCTGGCCCCTAGAGGGCGCTCGCCTCTCTGACAGCCGAGCCCCTGCTGCTCCACCGGGAGCTGCACCCAGGGCTTCTTGGCCACCAGGGTGGTAACCACAGCAGGAAAGGATAGGGCACATGGGGTCGGGCACTGTCCTGAACATTTTACATAGAAGAGCACAGGGAAGCCCCATGACAGACCCCCAGAGGCACTGTCGGTACCCTGATGTGAAGCACAGGCACAGCCAGGCCCCGGCCCCAGAGGGCATCTCCGGGACCCAAGCTCCCCCCACTACGCCACGCTGCCTCTCCTAGCGGACGCAGGCTTCGCCCGCCTCTGCACTGAGCTCCTTGGCCGAGGCCCACTCCTCCTCTGGATCACTGAGTCTACACTGCCTCAGCCCCAAAGGCCTCAGAATGGGGCCCTTTCTGAGCTCCCAGGCCTCCCGGCAGAAACGATCCTCCTCCCGGGGCCCGCAGAGGCCTTTATCACAGCACCTGAAACACTTGGAGGGGTGTGCCCTTGTTCACGGACTGTATCCCTTAGGTGTGAGCTCCTCAAGGTCAGGCGTGTGACCCCGGGCTGGGCAGAGTGGCTCGGACTGGGGTGGGCATGTACTGGTGCCCACGCTGCCCTCCCCACCACCAGCACGTGCTGTTAATTGAGCATAACTCTTGACCACTGAATCCAGACTGGGCCTCAGAATCCCTCCTAGCACAGGGCTTTGGGCAGATACCACCAATCAACCAGGTTCAAGTGTGGGAAAAAATGCTGTTGAGGGCACAAATGAAAGAATACAGAATAAAAGATTATAAAGAATAAATTTGCTCCTCTGGAGCCAATCATTAGCATGGTTTGCTGAAACAGGGGTGGCTCCGGTGGACAGTCATGCTGGCCCCTCTGACCTGAGGTGGCTCTCACCTTGCGAATCATGTCCTGGTTGTATTCATGGATCTCGGTCATGGCATCCAGTGTGGGGTTGTTGGCCAGCAGCCCGCCATCCAGGAAGCGCCCATTAGGCCGGAAGTAGGTGGGGGCGGCCCCACTGCTCCGGGCTGCCCGCCACACCAGCTGCTCTGCGGGGGTAGGGGGAGGGTGGCCAGTGGCACAAGGAACTGGTGTAAGAGCTGCATGCTTCAGATTTTGCACGTGTGTGTATGTGGGTCTGTGGGAAGGAGAAGAGGCTGGGAACTCCTCAGAGGCAGGGCTGGCAAGGCCATGCTTTCTCATCCTGCCATCCTGGTGGAAGGCGGTGGGGAGCTGAGGACCACCAGGGGCCTCCTCCAGCCTCTTCAAGCCCTGATAGCCGCCCTGCTCTGCCGGCCATCAGCTGCTAAAGACTTGGGGCAGCGGATGGGACGGTGGTTGGCAGGGGGTCCCCGACAGCAAGAGTATGACTCCCACCCACCACCCTGCAAGCTTTCCGCCAACTGCTTCCCACAGATACAGCAGAAATGGTTTAACCTGAGGGCTGCGTTGGAGGCTTTAGGTTAATGTTCTGGCTGAAACGAGGCTCCTGTACAGACTCCGGAGCCTCATAGTTCCGGAAGAGGTGGAGTTCCGCAGGCTGCCGGTCAGACAGTGTCCCTGTCAGCATCACCCTAGGGAGAAATAAGGGGCACGACAGCAGAAGTCACTGACCCACCCACCCTTGGCAGTCCACCTTCAGCAATCTTTGCCCAAATTGCTGACCCCCAGATCCTGCTTCTGGGGATTCATCCTAAGACACTCGTGTGTGTGGGCGATGAGCGTGCACAAGGCTGTAAACAGCAGGATCCGCTGTTAAACCAATGACTGAAATGTCCATCAGCAGGATGGCCCAACGCATCAGGGTTCCCCTTCCCAGCGGGCTCCGTGTCACCACAGAATGACTAAGGATATACTTTATGTACTGATAGGCCATGAGCACCAAGATTTATGGGTGAGTGGAAAAAGTATGTTCAGGGCAGTGGGTGTAGTACACCAACATTTATTTAAAAACAAAACCCTAAAACCTATGTAGCTGTTTGTTTGGTCAGAGGGCAACTCCAGAAGGACTCATGAGCAGAACCTGGGAACAGTGAGCTGCCTCTGGGGCAGGGGCTGGTGGCTACAGCTCATGGACAGGAGTGGGAGGGGACCTTTCACTGTGTCACCCTTGATACCTCTTCAATGATTTGCCATGTGAGTCTCCTCACTTGGAAGACTCTCACTTCTCTTGAGAGGCACAGACATCCTTAAATACTGCAAGGAGTATATAGACTGGTACAGCCTCCTTGGAAACTAGTATGTATTAAGATCTTTACAAATGTCCTGGCTCTTTGATCTGGGAATTCCATTTTGGGAAACTTAACCTAAAGAAATCATCTTAGTTACAATAAAAGCTTCTTGTATAAAGCTATTCATGATGGTGTAATTTAATAGAGTAAAAAATGAACTGATTTAAATGGCAACAAAATAAGGGGTAATGGGATGTTTTACAGCAGTTCCAAATTATGCTGGCAGAAATGTGTTTGATATTTACATTGTAAAGAAAAATATAAAGGAAAGGGAACCAATAACTCCATACAGGAAAAATAGATTAGTTTTCCATTTCTGAGAATACTGTGGGAAAGTTATCTGAACAACCCTCCCACTAAACAAAAAAATAAATATTGGAAAAATATTTTTAAAAATCTTCTTAAAAGCATAAGAGACCTGGCAAGATAGAAAGGAAATACCAGGGTAAACTCTGAGGATAAGCAAGAATCCAGAGGTCAATGGAGCACAGACCCAGCTTCGACCTGAAGGCAGATACCAAACTCAGTAAATCTGAACATCAGCGTTAATAGCTTCATGGGGCCAGTGGGACAAAAGTCCAAGTCCAGGGCCCACCAAAGGTGAGGGGTCTAATGGAAAACCCCCACATTTAGTTGGGAACATAAAAGTCTACACTCTTGGATAAGGGTGAATGAGAAATAAACCTGCCCCTTTCATACCCCTAGAGGCAGTGAGGTAAGTGGCCTTAGCATTGGACAAAGGAGGGAGAAAAAAAAATCCCTGAAAATGTATAATCACAAACTAACCCTTCTGCAGATCTGTAGTTTAAATTCACATCATGTGGGGGATGTACCAAATCCTTCATGCCAAGAGTCTAGTTACAGTGGCCCTAGATGGTAGTATACCTAGTTGCCCAGAAGAGATAACACAAAACACTCTGGAGGAAGATGCTTTTATTCTAGACCTCAAAGAGTCTGCATGTATTATTTTTCAATACTAAGGAACACTGCACAGTTAAAATTAAAAGTGGTGGAGGAACACAATGAAATAAAACCCTATGAATGAGAACCAGCAGAAACCAACATAAACAGCAAAACATACCTATATAGACTGCAGATATTTGACTCCTTAAACAAAGATTATAAGCAGCTTAGTTTACAATGTTTAAAGACATCAAAGATAAGCTTGATAATACCTTCAAGGAGAAGGAAAGTATAAATAGTGATTTAGAGGATTTGAAGAACCAGACTACTTCTAGAAATTTAAAAAAAAAGAATAAAAAAATCCCGTGGGTGGGTTAAATGGAAAATTAGATAACATAGAGAATTAGTGAATTGATAAATAGGTAAGAAGAAATTACCCAGGATGAAACACAGAAAGATAAAATGATAGAATATATAGAAGTTAAAAGACATGGAGGATAGAAAAGGTCTGACATATGCTTAATTGGAGTTCCAGAAGGGGGGGAAAGAGAAAATAGGAAGAGGCAAGGACTGAAGAGATGGCTTAGGTTTCCAGAACTGAAGAAAAGCAACAGTCCAAAGATTTATGAAGACTAACAAATCCCATGCAGGGATTAAAAGGAATTCATATCTAGATATTTCATAGTACAACTGTATAAAGCACCAAAAACAAATTTTTGGTGGAAATTTGGTGGAAAAATCCAGAGGAAAAAAAACAGACCAATTACTTTCAAAGGAGTAGCAGTTAGATCAAAATTGACCTTGCAAGTGTAACAATGGAAGCTAAAAGATTATCGAATGATATCTTACATTTTCTTCTACAAGAAAATCACCAGTATAGAATTACATACCCAGCAAGAACAAGAATGAAATAAAACTATTTTCAAACAATTCTCCTGGTGGAGACCTCACCACCAGCAGTCCCTCCCAAAAGGAAAGTCAAAAGAATGTACTCTAGGCAGAAGGAAAGTGGTCATAGATGAAAGTTTGAGATGCAAAAAAGAAGCATATACGTATGCATACACACATACATACTCGATGGTGTGCTGGAACCGGCTCATTCTGGCTTGTAAGAACCTACTGTTAAATCTCATGAATTGGTTGTTAAAACTGCTGGTATCTTAAGATTGCCTACGGTGGAAGTATTTATGCCATGGGAATTGGCAAAGACTACAAATCAAGGTTTGATCCCCCAGATATCTGATTTACCAGCACACCACTGGATAAATCTAAATGAAAACCAACTTCAAAAAATAATAGTATCTTGTGAGGCTTAAAAAAAAGATAGATTAAAAATACAGGAAAACAATTATAGATAAGGTGGGGAACAATAATAGATAAGGAAGAGAATTTTCTATCTCCTCTCCTTCTAAAACTCCAATTAAACATATGTTAGACCTTTTCTATCCTCCATGTCTTTTAACTTCTCCTATATATTTTATATCTCTGTGCTGTACCCTGGGTAATTTCTTCTTATGTATTTTATAATTTACTAATTCCCTCTTTAGTATTATCTAATTTTCCATTTAACCCACCTAGTAATTAAAATATTTAAAAATACTTGATTATCTGTGGGAAGTGTAATGTTATAAATTAACTTTAGACTTTTTAAAGTATGCACTGAAAAAAAGAAATGAGTGCATAAATTTCAAACTTATCAGGGATATGGAATATAACAATTACATAAAAAATTCCATGGATGAGTTAAATGGAAAATTAGATAATTATAAAGCTGGGTATATAATTCTATATTGTAGATTTTCTTGTAGAAGAAAATGCAAGATATCATTCTATCATCTTTTAGCTTCCACTGTTACATTTGTAAAGTCAATTTTGCTCTAACTGTTACTCCTTTGAAAGTAATTGGTCTTTTTTTTCCCTCCAGATTTTAAAAAATTTGTTTTTGGTGCTTTATACAGTTGTACTATGAAACTACTCAGTTTTAATTACCAAAAGAAGGCAAGAAAGAGAAAAAGAAATGCAGAATAAAATAGGATGGCATATGCCATTCCAAATATATCACTAATTATGTAAATATAAATGGACCAGCCATATAAACTACAAGATTAACTATATGAAGTTTCTGATAGTCAAGCCAATCAGCTAAATCATTCTTAACTAATTAATTTAAATAAATATGTTGCTATGCATTAAAAACCTATAAATGCACTAAATGTTACAGGTACGAATAAAAAGCAACAGATTAGACAAAGAAAAAATCCAACTATAGGCTATTTGCAAGAGAAATCTCTAAAACACAAGGATTCAAGAAGGCTGAATTAAAGGATGAATTCAGATATACCATGCAAAAATGACCAAAGAAAGCTGTTGTAACTATATTAACACCAGACAAAATAGGCATGGAAGTCAAAAGCAATCCTAGACATAAAGAGGGATGCTTCATAAAAACAAAAGATTCCAATCATCAAAAAAATACATGAAAATTTAAATTTATATGCACTGAAGAGCATAGAGTCAAAATATTAAAACCAAACTTGACCAAACTAAAGATAAAAGAGTCAAATTCTCACAGGAGGAGATTTCAACATAGCTCTCTTAATAACTGATAGAAATGGACAAAAACTAGTAAGGATATAGAAGATTTGGAAATTTTAAACAGCATTCCTTGCCAATTATGACTTAATGGACATGTATAGAACTTGGAGCCTAACAAATGAAGAATCCAAATTCTGTTAAATTATACATGGGACATTTACAAACACAGAATGTAAAAGCCCACGAAACAAGTCTCAACACATTTTAAAGGACCAAAATCATACAGAGCAAGCCTTCTGGCCAAAAAAACAATTAATATAAAAAATGTAACTAGAAAATCTCCTAAGTTTAGAAATTGAGAAATATATTTTTTAATAACCTATAGTTCAAAAAATTATAATGAAAATCAGAAAATATTCTGAATATTTTTAAATATAATTAACACAGTACTTAGATTTACACACACATACATAGCATACTTAATAAAACAGAATAAAAGCTAAAAATCAACAAGCAAAACATTTACTTCAAGAAGTTAAAAAAAAGAACAGCCAAATAAACCCAAAGAAAGTACAAGAAGGAATAAAAGTAAGAGCAGAAATTAATGAAACAGAAAACAAACACATAATAGAGAGCCAATAAGTGGCTGAAAGTTGGTTTTCTGGAAAAGTGATCCAATTAAAACACCTGTGGCAGGACTGGTGAAGAAAAGAGGAAATCTACATAATTAGGAAGAAAAAGGGGATCATCACCACAGATGCTACAGGCATTAAAAAGATACTAAGAGAATATTTTGAACAACACTATGCCAATAAATTTGAAGATTTCATGAAATTGGCATATTCCTAGGAAAAAACAAACTTAACCAAAACTAACACAAGAAGACATTTAGAAACCCTAAATAGTCGTATACAACCATTGAAGCAATTAATTCCATTATAAAAAATCTTCCCCCAAAGCAAACTCCAGGCATAGATAACTTCACTGGCAAATTCTACCAAATATTCAAGGAAGAAATAAAGTGACTATTACACTAATTCTTTCAGAAAACAGAAAAAGATGAAACATTCCTTCAATACCAAAACCCAGCAGTGCCAAAATGGGAAAAAAACAGGTCAGTCTCCCTAATGAACACGGATGCAAAATCCTAAACAAAATATTAGCAAACTGAGTCTATCAGAATTTGTACATTCATGTTCATAGCATCACTAACTCACACAGCCAAAAGATGGAGATGACCCAAATGTCCATCAACAGATGAAAAAATGTGGTCTACTTGCACAATGGAATAGTATGCAGCCTTCAAAAGGAAACGAGTTCTGAAACAGGCTACAACATGGATAAACCTTGAGGGCATTATACTCAGTGAATTACTAGTCAGAAAAAGACAATATGGTATGATTCCACTTACACGAGGTACTTAAAAAGTAGTTAAACTCATAGGTATAGAAAGTAGAATGGTAGTTGCCAGGAGCTGGGGTAAAGGGAAATGAAGAATTTGTTTAATGGATACAAAATTTCAGTTTAGCAAGATAAAAAAGGTTGGGAGATCAGTTGCACAACAACATGAATATACTTAACACCACTAAACTGTTGGTTAAGATATGGTTAAAAAAGCAGTAAATTTTATGTGTATTTTATCACAATAAAAATTTTTTAATGAATAAAGGATATTTCTAAATACTGGCTACAGTCAAAAAATGAAATGTTTAATGTTTAAAATGTATAACTTACAGTAGCACAAAACATATGAAGCACTTAAACAGATATGTAAGATCTCTATAGATAAAACCCTAAAACTGTATTGAGAAAGTACACAAATGGAATGTTTTACTATGTCCTCTAATTGCAAGACTTGGTGTTTTTAGAAGTCAGTTCCCTGCCAAATCTTACAGATTCAATGTAATCTCAATCAAAATCCCAACAGAATTTGGTTTTCTGTAGAATTTGACATCTGATTCTAAATTTATATGGAAGCACAAATAACAGCAAGTCACCCTAGCACAGCACTTCTGTGTACCAGGTGCTTTTTACAAAGCTTTATAAATATTACCTTTTTTACTCCTGAAAACCCCAGGAGACAGATGGTATATTACTCCCATTTTTGAGAAGAGTTGCACACTCTTAACCACCTCTTTATAAGGCCTCCAAGAATAGCAAGGATACCCTTCAAGGAGAAGGCCAAGGAGGAAGGCCTTATTAGTGCTGAACAGTTAGGACTCCATGGTCTGGGCACGTAGATGGCACAGACATCTAGACCATGAACAGGACACAGCCGGGAACGGAGCCGAGCAAGGACCCCTGACCCACTGCCAAGGGAGCAAGGCTTGTGATGCAGAGGGAAGGACAGACTTCTTCACAGATGAGGCTGTGGAAACTGGTTCTTTGCACAGAAAACATAAAATTGGATCTCACCTGACACAAAAATCAATAGTTTGATAAAAGACCAGAACACGTAAGGCAGTTCCAGAGAGCCTTAGCCCTGTCACTGGAAAATAGCTTTCTGCCTCAGGATAAGGAAGGGTTCTTGAAATGATATAAAAAGCACAAACCATATAAAAGAAAACATTTATAAATTTTACCATGTTAAGAACATCTGTTCATCAACAAAGCGCCATAAAGAGACTGAAAAGACAATGGAGTGGAAGAAAAGATTTCAGATCCATTTATCTGTCAAAGGACTGGTTCTCAAAATATAAAAAAAAGATCATTAAGAAGGCCTATAATCCCCAAATCACACAATCCAACTTTGCCAAAACAGGCAGAACACTTGAACAGGAACTTTACAAAAGAAATCCAAACACCTTTGAGCACATGAGGAGAGTTCGACCTCCCCAGTAACCATGAAAATGAGAATTCAAATCACATGGAAACACTATCTTAAACTTTCCAGATTTGTAAAGACAAAAATGTTTGATAATAACCAAACGTTAGAGAGAATGCAGGGTGACAGGAACTCTCAAACACGGCTAATGGGAGTGAAAATAGAAACTGCAGCTTTGGAGAACACTGGGGCAGAATGCACACCTGCTCCGAGGCTCAGCACCTCTCCTCCTAGGGGCATATGGCCCAGGGCAACCTGTACACATACGGGTCAGAAAACAGGTCCCAGAGTGTTCACTGCAGGACCCTTGAAAGAGCTGCAAAGTGGGGCCAACTAAAGTGTCCATTGAAGGTACTGGAGAAATGAACTACGGACACCATCACGCGATGGGATCGCCCCCAGCAGTGAGAGAGAATGAAGTAGTTTCACCCAACGTGCCGACAGACACAGCACTGACGGAAGGACTAGCGCAGGGGCCGAAGCCACAGTGCTCTGGCGGAGGCGGCGTACTTGGGTTTCTTGACGTCTGTCATCTTGGTGTGCTCCCCAAACTCCCGCTTCAGGAACTCCTCCAGGGGCCCCGACTCGTAGGGCCGCGAGCCCTGGAACACCTCATCCTTCATGCGGAAGTACACGCCACGCATGTAGGCCATGGACTTGCCTAGGAGAAAGGGGGTGGGGGTCGGGAGAGACATGGGGCCCAGGCCGGGACAGAGGGCCTGAGCACACGCCGGCCGCAAGACAGGCCGGCCGAGGCAGGAGGCGGCAGGAGAGGGGCGCGTTTACCCCGGCACTAGCCACGCTGGGGCTCCTGGGCCCTCCTTCCCAAGTTCCCACACAGGCAGAAATCCCCTTCAGCAGCCCGGGATGCTGTCCTGAATTTTGTATTCATGATTTTGTATTATTTTTCTTAAATAAGAGCCCTGAAGGTATAAAAGCTTGTAAATCTAGATCTACCCTGGCCCTGCCTGTGAGCCTCCCAGAACAGACAGGGTCAAAGGGGCAGGCCGCCCCGCACAGGGCGGAGAAACCACCAGCACGCCTCCCTGGGGCCACAGGTGCCAGGCAGGGCTGGGGAGAGGAGGGCTTCCCCTGCCTCAGGTGAGTCCAACACAAATCCCTTCCACAGCCCCGGGGGTATGAAGACCCCACATGAGGGCCAAACGTCCCCTGAAGAAGTAAGATACCCTTTCTGGAGGAGAGGCTGGACCTGGGCCCTAGACCTCAGGCCCCGCTGGACTGAGGCAGACGCAGGGGAAGGCAGGAACTGAAGGGCGTGGGGCCCGATGCATCCCACAACTTGCCAATTGATCCTCCTCCTCTTCCCAGAGCCCTAGGGGACACTGCCTTCAGCCACCTCCTGGGTGGGCTGTGTCCCATGTCCCCACACACCCGGGGCTGCCAGGCCATGGCCCCCTCCTTGAGGCAGGGTGTGCACTTGATTCAGCCCCATGTCCCTAGTGCCCAGCACAGGCCTGGCCCACAGGCCTTGGTGCCCTGGGAAGTGGAGGGTGTCTTCAGATCTGCAGGGCATTTTGGACAGCATGGAATGCAACCCGCACCGGGGCAGGAATCACGGTCAGGGATGCCGAGGCAGAGGACAGTTCTCATCTGGGTGGTCTCTGGCTCTGGGTGGGCCCTACCGGGCAGTGTCACACAGCCCGGACAGCTCCGTAAGGGAGACATCACTTGAGTTGAGACTATGAGTCTGCCCAATAAGCTAAGTGCCCTTCACCATTGCAAAGCTGCAGTGAAAGCAGATTGCATCGGAGACTAGGCTGGGGTCTGGGAGGCTGTCCTAGCCCAGCAACCCCAAGGATGGGCTATGTGACTTTGGGTCACCTCTCTCTCTTAAGGACCTTAACTTCCCTGTGGGTAAAATGAAGTGTGCCCACCAGGGCTCTGGCATTCTGTGCTTGGTGGCCCCTCATTCCTGAGACCGCCCTCCTTCCGGCATAGGGGTGGTTTTCCTTATCCCCAGCAGGTTCTGAGGCCCTGTGCTGCCTGCCCTGAAGGGGTGTGGGGAGGAGTGGTTGAGGCAACTGCTCCCACACTGAAAGGAAGCACAGGCTATTCTGCCCTCCGAGGCTGGATGGGGCATCAAGGCCAAGACCACCCACCCTGCCTTTCTTCCAGCCCCAGGCCCTAACCCCTCAGCTGTTCCACAAAGGGCTGACCGGCCCTCCCTTCCCATGACCCTCTTTGCAAAGATCTGAAAACACACAGCCCAATTTGGGGGCAGGTCTCCAGCCCATCCCCTGTCCACGCTACCCAGGGCACTGCCCTCACTGTGCAGAATGGCCAGGGCCAGGATGCCCCCGGTGCTGGTGCCTGCCACCCAGTCAAAGAGGTCCTTGGTGGCGACACCCGAGGCCTTCTCGATGGCGATGAGGAGCTGGATGATGACGAGGCCTTTCACTCCCCCTCCGTCCAGGCAGAGCAGGTGGTCGTGGCTGTGGTCGGGATGGCAGTGGGAGAGAAGAGGGTCCCATCACAGCCAGTCACTTTGCATCCTGCACTCGAACCCTAGTCTCTGAGCATCTGCTCTCTAAGGACTCAGTCTCTGCTGTGAACCACAGAGGACTCGGGCTACCTTACAGGGCCAAAGTGAGGACTAGACAAAAGCCCTGACCTGGGGGCACCCAACAGAGGCCCCGCACAAGTAGCCCCCCTTCCGACCTCCACTTACGTCCGCTTCTCGTCCCTCAAGGAGCTCAGGGTGAATGCCGGCTTCCGAGCCTGGGAGATATGCACGAGGTCCTGCAGCTCTGTGAGGCACAGGGCAGGGTGGGTGGGGCCAGGCAGGTGCCAGGCATCCGCCACCCCATCGGTCCTGAGCAAATCTGGAGCTGTGCCCTCACCCCACTGCCCCTAGCAGAAGCACCTGCCTCCTGCCCCCAGAAGGACTCTCTGACCCAGGGCACAACTGAGCCAGAGGTTACAGGCCCACGATAGAGAAACAGGCTAGAATGCAGAGGGGAGCCCACTGCTCAGGAAGGGTCCCCCACCTTGTCCGGCCAGCTCCCAGATTCTCCGTGTCTGAAACACAAGCATCCCTGATGTGTCCAGGGCCCTGCAGTTCACAAAGCATTTCTCCATGCACTGGGGCCGGTGCTGCTGACAACCACCATTACCCAAATCACTACTCCCAATTTAAGGATGAAGCTTAAAGCGGTTACATGACTTGTTCACCTAAAGTCATTTAGCCAAAAGCATTGAGCCGGGATGCTCCTCAGGGGTCTAAGTGCACGAATGCAGGGGCATGTCCCAACCGCTCTTTAGATGCCCTTCATCCTGATTCCAGGCCTGGAAACTTCCTTGGTGGCCTCCCAGATCAGCTGCACCCATCCATTCCCTCCATATTTTACTCTATGCCCAAGGCCCACCCTTTGCCCAAGGCCCACCCTTTGCCCACTCAGTGGGTTAGCAGCCCTCCCGACAAGCAGCCCGGCCCCAGGTCCCAGCCCGGCAGTGCCACATGATCTTGATTCCGGGGGACCACCCCACCACTGTGCATGGGGTCTGTAAGCAGTAAAGCAGGAGGCAGGCTGCAAGGTTGTGTGTCTCCCCATTACTAGGGCAAATGGCCGGACAGCGGGCAAGATAAGCAGGAGACTGGCCAGGAGAGGCAGTGGACAGACTAGGGAGAGGGTGGTAGGGAAGGGTGTGTGTGCCCGGCGTGCCGCTGAGGAAAGGAGCAGAGAGAACTAGAGCTACGGCTAACTCGGGGCAGGCAGGCTCTGCGGCTCGTCTAGGTGCCAGGCATTACCCATCAGACGCTGGGCCCCAGGCCCACCATCCAGCCTGGCTTGGGTGACAGACTGCCTGTAAAATTGAGAAATAAAGATGGCGAGGGGGGAGCAGGTCTTGGATGGGAGAGGGAGGAAGAGGGGCCTGAAGGGCTGATGGGGCTGCGGGCTCTGCCTCTCCTGTGCCCCAGGCCGGCTGAGCTATTCTGGTTAGAGGCGCTGCTGTCTGCTTCCCCAACAGTAAAAAAAACCCAGAAACATAAAAACAGCAAGCTTGCCAAGGATGGGCTCCTGATGTCCTGTTTAGGGGACCTCACTCCCATACAAGCAAAGGCCCCGGCTGGCCAGCCCAGAGAAGTGCAGAGGAGGGTCCCTGTCCCCCCAGGGACGGTGGCTGTGGGCACTAGGATGCAGGGGGCAGATGCTAGTTGCCTGGCCAAGTTCACAAGCCCGGAGGTCACTGCAGGTTCCGGAAGGGGAGCACACAGGCCCCAGGCCTGACGAACTCAGCAGCGGGGCAGAGACATTCCTCTTTGGAACCGGAGCGCCAGGGGCTCTGGGCCGCCAGCAGCACTCCTCACTGCCCACTCGGGCTCCCAAGGCACAAGGAGAGAGCAGGAAAGCGCCCACTTCATAGGTACCACAGGGGGGCCCAGACCCGAGGGCACACTCTCAGGGCCAGAGGACCTTGTGCCATTGGCCTGGGCCCCACGGGCCTCTGGCTCTATGAGTTACTGGCTGTCCTCCAAGGCAAACAAATGCTGGCCCATCCTGCCTCGTGCCCTTCACGGACTTCTACCCTGGGGCCCATTTCCTCCCATCAGGACTACTCTGATCCAAGAGCCTGGGAAGCACGCGGAGGAGGGAGCATGGGAGGGGGAGGCCTACCTAGGTTGTTTAAGCAGATCGGTGGGGGCTGAGATCTTCCCGGGGACAAGTAGGAATGCCGTGCTGCTGCGGGGCCCTGATCCGAGGGGGCCCCTTGGTGGTTGGCCCCCACGGCTCTCAGCAGTGTTAAGAGCGCCTTCCTGGTGACAACTTGCCAGGGTTTGGGGAGGGGGAGATCACACAGGATCAGAAATGATGTCAACATGCAGGGAGTGGCCCCTCCTTCCCACACACAGTCCCCTCTCCCATTTGCCAGGCCATCTGGCTGTGTGGGGAAACTGGGGTGCCCCGGGGGTGTACGAACTCAAGTCTGTTACGCCTAGGTCAGCTTCCTGGGGCCAGGGAAGTCAGTGGGGTTTCCACAGAACAGGAAGGGGGTGCTTAGTGCTGCCTGGCTGCGTATTTTGGGAACTCCCTCTTTCCCTGCTACTCCAGTCAAGACAGCGGATGCCCACCTCCATGTTCAGCAATTCTCAAAACTGCTGGATGGAGAATCTCTTTCAGACCTCAAAAGGGACTAACATGCCAGCCAGTGGGCACTTATTTATCCCCATTTAATGGATGGGATAACGGAAAAGGATGCCACAAGAAGCAGTGCCCAATGAGGCACACACCTACTGGAACCCCGCAGCTGCCTGGAGCCCTCCAGAGAGTGCCCCAGGTTTCTGTTGAGGAGCCCCTGCCTTCTCCAGCCCCAAAGCCTAGGCTCACAAAGCAAGCATTCAGCGCATGCAGCATGCCAGAGTGTGCAATGTGTGCACATGGACTTGAGCAACGCTGTGCATGCACCGACCACGGTGTGCTTGCAAATGGCTCCATCAGGGAGTCCTCCAGGTAAGGAAGAGGGCTGCCACTGCCTCTCCTGCCACCTTCCCAGGGAGTCCCAGCACCCTGAGTGGGCATGGGGGCCCCACATCAGAGGACACTGCCTTGGGAAGCCCTTGGTGGGCTCCATTACTGGTCAGGGGCCCTGTTCTTGAGAGAAGGCGGCTTCCCCGCTCAGCCTCCCAGGTGCTCCTAGAAACCGCGCAGGGGGCATGGGGCTGGGCGTGGCGTTTGAAAGCTGGGGCTTCTCTCCTCCCAGTCGCAGTCCCCTCACCCCGGTCCGACTCTGGTCCCAGAGTGCAGAGCACTTACGTTTGCTGATCTTGGAGGCTATGAATGCAGGAGTCTCTCCAAAGTCATTTGGGGTGTCCACCTCTGCCCCAAACACAATGAGGGCCTTGATCATCTCCACATTGTCTTTCTGTTGGGATGAAGTGAAGGGAATGTATGCAACAGCTCAGGGAAGTGAAGAGGAAAAGGACCCCGGCCCTTTTCCCCTGCCCATCACCTCGGTGCGCCTCAAGCACCTCGATCACCAGACTGGAAGTGACTCGTCCCAACCCCCATTTCCCAGCCTGATTTCCCTGCTGAGAGAATGAAGAGTGTGTCCACAATGCAGTTTTCCCAGCAGTCACTAATGTATCATGAGGATTTATATGGGCACAAGTAAATATGAGAGCTTTAATCATGAGTGAGGTATTTCTTTTCTGCTTACCTTTTATTTGTGGCACTTATTGTAGTGATATAATAATTCCTTCAAAATACATTTAAGTTTAAAAGCAAGCCAACTTAAAGAAACTGTTAGCATGAGTTACCAAAGGGAAAGGGACTGGGGAGGACGGGTGGGAAGGGAGGGATAAGGGCAGGGAAAAAAGAAAGGGGGCCTTACGATTAGCATGTATAGTGTGTGGGGGGCACAGGGAGGGCTGTGCAACACAGAGAAGACAAGTAGTGACTTTACAGCATCTTACTATGTTGATGGACAGTGACTGTGAACGGGTATGTGGGGACGACTTGGTGAAGGGGGGAGCCTAGTAAACATAATGTCCTTCATGTAATTGTAGATTAATGATACCAAAATAAAATTTAAAAAAAAAAGAATGACAAGGTAAAGGAGAGAGGCACTTGGGGAAGAGAAAGGAGAAGCAAAAGGGAACAAATATATATTGAGTGATTAATACAGGCTTCATATAAGTTAATGCAAAAGACGCTAGAGATGGGGAGGGAGAAAAGGAGACAAAGATTTAAAAGGGATCTGTTAGAGATAAAAAATGGAGAGAAGAAAGAAAGAGCTAAAAATATATAATTTTATGCTTGCTATTAATTTATATCTTCTAATTGGGATTCCAGACTAGATTTATGCACTCTAATATTATTCATATGATTTGTATGTACACATTAGTCAATCATTAATGGAAATCAGACTTTGACAACTTCTAACTGCAACTGAAATTTCCTTGAACCTCTGTTTAAAATTCAAAAAATACCAAAGAAGGCTAAAAACTTTCTGTAACAAGTCTAGACCTGTATTATGTTGGAGTTTAATATATTACATTCATTTCCACTGTAATGGGAAATTATTAAAAAGGAAATTGTCAGTGAAAAAAAAAAAAGAAAGAAACGGTTAGCATGTAATTGTAAAAGCAGCTCACAAATATGCCAAGACCCGTGAAGAAGGCATGCCGGTGCCGGAGGTAGGGAAACAATGACCTACAGCCGCAGTTCTCCGAGTTACATCCGGGGGCCCTGTGAATGCATGAGGCCCTTTAGAGGGTTCACGAGGTTGAAACAGCTTTCATAAAAATATCGAGATGTGCTTGTCCTTAGCACTGATGGTGTAAAAACAATGGTGGATAAAACAGCTGGTGCCTTAAGTTGGCACGGTTTTCTTCTCTGCCACACACTCACAGTAAAAAAGCAACCAATTAATTCACCGGTTTCACTTAAATGCCCCTGGTGAGGCATCAAGAATTGTTAATTCTCTTACATTTCAACACATGTATCCAGGGTCATAACACAGTACACATGAGACGTTTCTGAGGTGCACCCATGTGTGCTGGTTGTCTGGAGGAAAAGCACATACACCACTGTCTGAGTGGCAAGCAGAACTAGCCATTTTTTTTTCATGAAATGCCATTTTTACTTGGGCTCATGACTGACAGGCAAACTATGACTATTCAGCCTTGGGTATTTAGGAGACATTTTCTCAAGAATGAATGCAGTGGGCCTGTCACTTCAAGAAAAACAGCTAACTGGCAGTATTTTGTGCCCAGGATAAAATTCAAGCTTTTATCAGTGAAATAAGCCAGGCGGAGAATGACAAGTATCAAATGATGTCACTCATCTGTGGAGCATAAGAACAAAGAGAAAACTGAAGGAACAAAACAGCAGCAGACTCACAGAACCCAAGAATGGACTAACAGTTGCCAAGGGAAAGGGACTGGGGAGCATGGGTGGGAAGGGAGGGATAAGGGGGAAAAAGGGGCATTACGATTAGCACACATAATGTAGTGGGGGTGCACAGGGAAGGCAGTACAACACAGAGAAGACAAGTAGTGATTCTATAGTATCTTACTATGCTGATGGACAGTGACTGTAATGGGGTTTGTAGGGGGGGGACTTGATAATGGGGGGAGTCTAGTAACCATAATATTGCTCATGTAACTAGATTAATGATGCCAAAATTTAAAAAATTCAAGCTTTTAAATAAAACTGGATTCCAGAAAACTTGCATATACCATGATAGACTTGACAGCTTCCCCATTATTCTGCTAAGCTCAGTGGCGGTATTTACAAATGTGGGGGTTTATACTGTATAATGAAATGGGCCAACATTTGGAAGCTATACATGTTCAGTGAGCCAATATTTTCCAAGGATGACACAAAATCAAGCATGGGTAAAGATCCATGCAAAGTGCAAGAGATGCCAATGGGTTTTAATGCAACAGTGCAAAAAGTTCACAGAGATGGTCTCAGAGTGCCTACTACAACCAGCTTATCAGAAACTTCTCCTTGTCCCTGGTCAAGTTTTTGTTCGGTATAAAAAAATATTCATAATCACCTGAAAAGCTATAACTACGTATCTTTTCCAACCACACATCTATGTAAGGCCAGATTTTCTTCATACTTTTCAATATATATTCAAGAATATATTACAACAGAGAAGAAATGTAGCAGATGACAGGCAAAGCAGTACATCCTTTCTGAAACCAGGTATTAAAAATATTCACAGAAATACAAAACAATGCCAGCTCTTCTAGATTACTTGTTGTTTTGGAAAATAAAGTTATTTTTCATAAACATGCTACTTGTGTTAGCATGTAATTGCTTAAATTACTGTTATTTTTAAATGAATTAATAAATATCATGAAAATGTTTTTTTTATTTCTAGTATGGTAAGTGTAAATAGATAAAATCTATGTACACAAAAAGCCTTTGGGGCCATCAATAATTTTTAAGGGCATAAAGGGGCCAAACAGAACAAAATGTTTGAGAACTGCTGAACTAGATGATTCTTAAGGGCCCATTCAGTGCTAAAAATATCCACGGTTTTATTTATAGTTTCTACCTCTTGGGCAATAGTGTCTCCTCTCCTCTACAGCCAAGACCTTTGCTATAAAACAGGATGTCTTTGAATTTGTCTTAATCTACTTCTTAAATCTACTTCCTTAGAGTACCAGAGGCTTCTCCCATTCTATCACTTTGCAACTTGTTAAACAAACTTATGAATATGTGATGAACATGTGGTGTTGCTACAACACACACACACACATACATTTGTAACACAAGAATCTAACCCTGCTTAATATGTTCAGCCTGTAGTTGTCTAACCAGACTGTGGGAGATTGAAGAGCAGCAGCCAGGCTCTATAATAAACTAACAATGTGACCAACACTTACCAGCAAGACATGGGCCACCAAGATGTGCAAGCAGGCCTGCTTGCCAGGAGCTTACAGTCTCCCAAGGAGAGCAAAACAATATGCAGATGAATGTTTTACCCTAATAATGCAGGAAAGGAGAGCTGGCGTCTGAGGGATGGCATGTGTCATTGACATTCTTCATGCAATAGCCACATGTCTACCATTTATTTCTCTCAATTCTGCCAACTGGGTACCAACACCTCCACTTTCCCAAGAGGAAATCAAAGCTCACAGAGGTGATGTGAGTTGCTCAAGGCCATAGTCAGTAGCCAGAGCTGTACTTGGCCCCCTCAAATCATGTAAGTGTCAAGTTGAGGGCATGGGAGTGAGAGGTGCCAGAGCACCGAGGACAGAGACATTATTCTGGGCTGAGAGGGGTCATGGCGGTTTCCTAAAGGAGGAGGCAGGGGCTGAGCTGAGTCTTCGAAGGTAAAAAGGTTCTGGGCAGCCAGTGAAAGGAAGAGGGCATTGGGGGAGGGGAGCGGGGACAGGCGTGCTCCAGGCCTCCCGGTCCCCTGGTGTCCCCACCACATGGGCAGCAAGCATAGGACCTGGGCCTCGGGAGGACAGTGGGCCGCAGGCTTACCGACATGGCCAGGTGCAGCGGGGTGTTGCCATGCTCTCCCCGGGCATCAGCATTGGCCCCATAGGTCAGCAACGCCACAACGCAGTCAAAGCGGTTGCGCATCACGGCCACATGCAGGGCTGTGTTTCCCATGGAGCTGGTGCTGTTCACGTCGCAGCCCTGTTTCAGCAGCATGCGGGCCATCTGTGGGGGGCAGGATCCAGGCCTGAGTCAGCTGGGCACTCAGAGCACCTGGCGACTGCCACTTCCCCCCTGAGAGGCCTTCAGGCAGGGGACCTCCGGAAGGCCCTGGCAACGAAAAGAACCCAGGCAGCAGGCCCCTGTTCTGGGGGTGGCTCCCACACCATCAGCACCCTAGAAACTACGGGACAAGAGCCAAAGATGTGCAGACTGTCTTAAGGAGCATCAGGGTCCTTTCCTGTAGCTAACAGACCCCAACTCTCCCTGCCAACTCCCATAACTGCCCCACACCTTGCGACCCTCCCTGGGGCCCTGCCAATGTATGACTGCTCCCCAGGCCTTCGAAACATGTACCCCTGCTCACCCAGCAGCTCCTGGGAGCCTAGATGTGGCTCAAAGCCCTGAGCCCAAAGCTCAGCCCCACTTCATCCCAGTTGTCTGCGTTTGGCGGGGTCCCTGCCTCTCTGCACCTCGGTTTCCTGTTCTGTGAAGACGGGACTGTAAGCCCGTACTTCACAGAGTGTGGTGACAGTGAATGACAAACATACATCAAAGGGCCTGACTAGCTCCTGGCATGAGGAAGATGCCCTGCAGAGGCTGGCACTCTCCTCCTGGCCCATCACAGGGGGCATCTTCAGGGGCATCTGGTGCATGGCCAAGCTGTGCTTCTTGGAGACAAGGGAACTGAGGCCCCCATCCTCCCAGGGGGATGGAACTTGGTTTAGGGAAGGCCTCAGGAGATGCCCAGCCAGGCTCTGTGGATGCAGTAAAGCCATCATTGTCACCACACCCCCTGCTGTTTGTGGAGCACTCGAAAAATTACAAGGAATTTTCTCACACACTAAATTGCTGACTTCATGACACCTCCAAAGGCAGGCCACAGGACTCCCAATTCACACATGAAGGAACCACAGAGGGGACATGGGCACTGGGCCAGTGAGCAGCAGAGCAACACCACTGCCTGTGGGCCCCCTACAAGCTCCACCCCCAAGTGCCATCCTGAGCCCTCCCAGGAGCCCCCTTCCTGTGGGCAGCTGAGGAACAAAGGGCTCTGGGACCCCCACCCACCCACCCCTCACCCTCGGACTCTGCTTACCTCTGCGTTCTTGGCCCAGTGGAGGGGGCTGGCTCCGTAGCGGGGGTCTTTGCTGTGGACCTGGTTTCTGTCCATGCTGATGATCATTTCAGCACACCTGGGCAGAGAGGAGCCAGGGGGCAGTGAGGAAGGTCGGGTGGTCGGGGGGGACCTGGGGCTGGAAGGGGCCATGACTCAGGGCTTCATCTACTGGTGAGGGAGAGTTTCTGTCAACAAAATTGCAATGAAGCCAACCAGCATGTACACCAAGGAATATCAAAGGTATCCTGAGCCCTTCACAGCACATCTCAAGCCCCTTCCTCCAGGAAGCCTTCCCTGACAACTTCAGTCAGAAACGGTCACTCTCACTAATGCTGGCTTTAGAGTCTGACAGGCTTGAGGTCAAGCCCCAGCTTCCTCACTGGCCTCTAGAAAGTGGCTGAGGCTGTCTGCAGACAGGGCAGGGATTAAAGGAGACAAGACATTTCAGCACCTGGCTCTGTGCCTGGCAAGCAGCTGCCCTCCACTGTTAGTGTTTCATGCACTGACCTGCCCCCTGTAGGAAGCAGTCGGTGGGGTGGTTAAGAGGGTGGCTGCTTTCCACTCCTAGGTATATAACCATAGGAACAGAAAGCTGGGCATGAGCAAGTGTTTGTACACCATGCTCACAGCAGCACTGTTCATGATAGCCAAAAGGTGGAAGCAACACCGGGTCCATCAACAGATGAATGTGGGCCATGTACACAATGGAGTATTATTCTGCCTTAAAAAGGGAGGACATTCTGATACATGCTACAACTCTAATGGACCTTGAACACATTACACTGAGTGATACCAGCATCCAGGCCCAGATCTGGCTCTCTATGAAGGTCGGCCAAGTTGGTGCAAGCCACAGAGGGACCCCCAGATAGGAGCTGGGATGGACCCAGTCTCAGTAACCCTGACACGTGTGATCCTTGGAATATGGCTGTGCTGCCAAGTGGTGGCAGAGGGAGGGTCCTTGCTGGGGCCCTGTGAGGCTGTGTGCACACGTATGGATGACCTGCATTGTCTTATGGGCAATGATCCTCCCGTGATCTGAGTTGGCCCCACATGGGAGGCCTGGGTGTGGCAGAGAGGGAACATGGCTGAGGGTGTGTGAAGAGGGAGCAATACCAGCTTCCTGGACAGAAAAGCACAGGATGGCTGGAGCCAGTGGAGAGCAGGCCGCCATGCCAGCCCTTGGGTATAAAAGAGTATTGCTTGTCACTTGTATCCATTTGGGTCACAACCTGCAACCCGGTAATGACACTACAGGGGGCGAGGGTATGGGTATTGTCGCCAGCCATTTGGTCAAGTCTTCCGGAAAGTTCTAGTTCATCTTGGCTGTGCTAGGGAGGATCAAGGACAAGAGGGTTGGCCCAAGCTTGGACTAGATATTTGGGGGACATGGTAATGTCGGGGCGACCAGCAGGTGGGTGAAGACCCCAGAGGAAAGAAAAACCTAAGGGAGGGTGAGTGCCACCCAACCTGGGTGCAACCCCCTCTGTGCTCTTTTCCTGTTTGCCTGTCTAGCGAACAGCCATGGAAGGTACTGGAAGTCCCCTGTACCGGGGCTGCTCTCTCACACATCTTTGGGAGGCCAGTACCTACCACAGCCCAGGACTAAGGGACCCGCTGATTCATTCATTCCTGCATTCATTGTCCCTGCTGGGCAGTATTTCGAGACAGTTATCTCTTTTATCCCCGCCCCCATGTAGAAAACTGTCCTCAGATCAGGGCTTCCCAGTCTGGGGAGAAGAACTGAGAGAGGGGTCTAGAGCCCCCGGACACGGGCCAGCACCTGTGTCCCGGCAGTGCCACCAGCTGGCAGGACGGCCACATGTAGGCAGATGGGGCCCTGAGCCACCTTGCCAAGCATTCCTGGGCTTAGAGCCGGGCACAGGGGCCACAGAGCATCGCAACCTAGAAGGCGCTCAGATCAGCCTGGTGGGCTTGGGTGGGAGAGGTCCGGGTCAGGTAGGCCCCTCGGAAGAGTAAGTGTTTTTCTCCAGTTTGGAAGAGGGAGCTTCATAGTAAGACACTAAGGCACATTAGATAAAAACCTTTCAAGTTCTCTTCTTTGCACACCTGGGTCTGTGAGCCAAAATTCACACCCATTACACACTCATCAAGCCCCTTCTTTGTGCCAGGCAGGCCTTAGGCCAATATCTGATGCACATCCCATAAGCCTGTGGGAGCCACTGCTCCCCGTGACATGTGGAGGGCTGGGGCTGGGGGGTGAGCACTTACGCCTTTTGGGAGAACTTCATGGCCGTGTGGATGGGGTAGCCAGTGAGCCCCATGACGTTGCACCGAGCACTGCACAGCAGCAGAACGCGGACCATCTCCTGCTTCCCCATCTGGCAGGCCAGGTGCAGTGGGGTCTGCCCTCGGTTGTTCACCTGGTTCAGGCCAGACGACGCATTCTTCCCTAGGAGCTGACAGTGTGACATCGGGTTGGGCGGGAGGCTGCCACGGAGAAGCCCGCTGCACGTCCCTCCCGACACCCACGTGGCAGTCTCCTTTGGGGATTCCAAGGGAAGGGAACTGAGATCATTGCCAGGAACACAGAAAGGAGGCTTTGGAGGAAAAAAAAGATAACTATGCTGGTGTCGGCTGGGGGTTGGTCTGGCATGACCATGGCCATGTATGAAAAATTTCTCAATTGAGAAACTTAAAAGGAGGTTGTACCCAGAATGGGCACTGGGAGCCTGGGTGGGAGTGGGTCTGCTCTTCATTGTATCCCAATCTGTCCTGCTTGGATTTTTTGCCATGTGCAGGTATTGTTGTTTTTTCAATTAAAAAAATATACCAGCATTACAAAGAGAGCCGAGAGGCTTTAACGTCTTCACTTGTAGCTGAATCCATAGGTTAATTACCCTGTATACCCGTGTGACCCCAGTGGGCCTGTTGGCAGGCTGGAGACACAGCAGAGATGCCCGAAGCAAGTTCACTCAGCCATGTGGCCCTCCCTGGGCACATTTTTTACCTTCACCAAACCTCAGTGAGGAGAAAGAGAGGAGGATAATGATCCCTTTCACAGAGGGTATTTTGAGAATGAACTAGAACACATATGACATGAGACCAGCACATGATAAAGGACAACTTTGATAGGAGTGTGTATGCCCGCTGCATTGGGGCAGGCCCTACCCGGCACTGTGCTGGGCACTTAGTGGCTTCCCTGTCAGGGTGGAATTCAACAGCAGGTGAAGAATTCCCTTCTGAGAGTACAAACCATATGATATGAACCCATGTTTTCTGGAATAATGTAGGTCCATTCTGATGCTAATGCAGAGAGTAGGACCTAACCTTCAGAAGAATCTTCTGTCTCCAAGCAATAAAATATTGTCCCACATTCTGTCCTTTCATTCCAATATATAAAGCAGTCTTTTAATTACATCACTTGATCTACTTGTCCACAATTTTTATGCTTATTTTTCTGCCCAGATAATCAAAAATTTAACAGAGGAGGTGCCTCTGGCATAAATGTCTACAGGAGCCAGATGAACTTTTGTATGTTTTGAGTTCCTGTAGAAAGTTAAGGTCAGGTCCCACTGGACCATAAGCCCATCCAGGCAGGGCTGAAACACACTCATCCAGCCCAGGGCTCCAGCTTGCAGAAGGTGCTCAGGAAAATGAAGCTGGTTGGTTGGACTGGGCCTTAAGTTTAGTTTACTGGGTTAAAGGACTTTCCCAAGGTTGTCAGAGCACAGCGGCCAAGGACGTATCTCCTTGACAAGTGTGAGGAGGGGGAGCAGGGCGTAGGGGGTGCACCCTCTAGGAGGAGCTCAGGCCTCAAGGACCAAAGGGGACAGTGAGGTGTTGCCAGCACTGGTCGTCCTGCTTACCTGCAGCACCTGGGAATTGTCACCCTGGACAGCGTAATGAAAGGCGGTTTCTCCGTTGTTGTCAGTGACATCCATCTGGGCGTGGCAGTACTGCACCAACTCCAGCAGGATCTCCCAGTCACCCTTGCGGCAGGCCAGGTGCAGGGGCGTACAACCCTCCTCAGTCTCCCTGCTGTTGGCGCAGCTGCGGAGAGGGTCGGGAGGTGAGCGGGCATGGTGCAAAGTGGGAGGGCTGCAAGCAACTCCAGGGCAGGAGAGCGAAGGCAGTTAGGAGCTAGAGGGCATTTGTGCCGTGCTCCAGCTGGCTGGTTCAAACCGAGGGCTGATTCAGTCTATTGGTTCTAATGTGAGTTGCATCTGTTTTCAGTTCAGTTTGCACACCTGTATGAGATGTGCCCTTGGGCCTCACCAGCCTGAAGTGGGAAATGGGGAAGTGTTAGAAAGGGCTGCATAAAGAACCTCACTAAACTCGGCCAAGTCACTGAACCTCTCTGGGCTTCAACATCCTTACCTACGTGAAAATAAAAATAATACCTGCCATGCCCGCCCAGGAAGTGGACAGAATTACTGGGAGATGCAGTAGCATGGTGTCCAAAACAGTCCTGGAGACTGTAAATGTTAGTGGAGGGGTTTGCTTTGAGCCTGGGAGCTGAACTGAGCTGTGGCCACTGCGGGGCAGAGGGTGAGCTGGGGTTCTGTGGCATGGCCTCACAGGGGCACCCGCTGATGCAAGGGCTGGCTGAGTGGACATACAAAAGCACGTGTTCCAGCTTCCTGAGGGCAACCAGGATCTGAAGCCTCTCCAGAGGAGTGACCTTGCTCAGGTCACATAACTGTTTGCTGGCATGGTGACTCTTCATGGGGGTGTTGGGAGGACTCAAGTCCACTGTGCATATAAAACAGCTACCGGTCCTGGCATGGCCCTGCCACACCCACACACAGGCACACACACTGTCCCAAGGGTCCTGTCCTCCTGCCTCACGTGGCAGGGTCCTCACCCACCTGATAATGCGGCTGTGATGGAAGCACTCTCGGATCCCCAACTCCACGGCCAAGTGGGCCACTGACCAGCTAGGGTGCTTGCGGATGAGGTCGGTCAGCTGCTGCAGGACCTCGGTGTTCAAGACGTGGGTGGAGCTCTCGTAGAAGGGTGGCAACTGGGAAGAATACTGCTGGAAGCTCACGAGGGCTCTGGCCTCCACCTCTAGCTGGAAGAGTCTGTGCAGCCAGGACAGAGGAGGAAGGCCTGGAAATGAACCAGGCAGGACCCTTGGCCCATACCCTGGCTGGCATCAAAAGCCTTGGGTCCCAGTTGGGACTTTTTTATATGAAAATATTTTCTTTTCTTTTTTAAATATTACATAAGTGCTTTTAGATTTTGTTTTACCAAACCTTTGCCCTATCCACTTTCTAATTTGACTATCACATCTGAGAGTCCCCATCTCAAGCCCCCAGCCCCTCACACACAGTAGGAAGTAAATAAGTGCTGGTTAACCTAAATGTCCAGCAATAGGATATTATATAAATTATGGTATATCTATGTCATGGAATATTACACACCCATTAATATGAGCTATTAAAAGAACATGGAAATGCTACTTTGTAGTGTTAAATAAAAAAGCAGAATAAAAGTTTTGTGTGATATAATAAGACCTAGACTGAGATTTTTTTTAAAAGCTGATAGAAAATATGTCAAAATGTGTACAGTAGGATACAATTTAAATGTTCTTTATCCATTTCTACAATTTCTAAATTTCCCAGTTTTTATAATCAACAAAAAAGACTTTTGTTCATTTTTCAAGAATCTGAGGTCTATTACATTGCTGTGTGACTTTAGAAAAACTCCTTCCCTCTCTGAGCCCTCTTTAGAAAATGAGACTAATTGTACCTGTCCCACCTACCTCACAGAAGTGTTGTGAGGGTCAGATGAGATGGCCAAGTAGTAGCACTTTAAAAGCTGTTAATAATTATGTGTCAATGATGGTCACTTTAAGTTCTGACCAGGGCTTTCAACATACCAAAAGGGTTTGTCCTACACTCCTGTACAAGCCCAGTGGCCAGCCAAGGTCTAGCAGAGGCAGTGTCCAGAGAGTACTGGCTCAAAGGCCACCCTTTCCTAGAGAGTGCAGCTGCTTAGCAAATATCTCCTGGGTGCCTGTTCGGGTCTGACTGCCCTGATGGAGGGATGAGTCAAGGAACGAAACAGACAGCATGCCTTGCCCTTCTGGAACCTACGTTCTTATGGTGGAGATCAACCAGCTGAGGAGGGCACAAATCAAAATAAGGAGGTACATTAAATAGACTACTAGGTAATAAGTGCCATGGGAGAAACAAATAAAGTAGAAAAGGAGGGTATGGAAGAGCCATTCCTCATTCCCTTTGGCTGGCTTTTGTTTCATCTCACCAACCTCTTAAAGTAAATACTGCTGCTCTGTCAAATATAAGGACAACTGAAATTGGTCACTGGATTAAGAATCCTTGGGCCATGAGCGACCTTGACAGGAGTACTTGTGGTGGAGTGGTGGGAACCAAAGCCTGACTGGCATGGGTTTAAGAAAGAATGGGATGTGAGAAATTGGAGATAGCAAATATTGACAATATTTTCGAGGAGGTTTGCTGTAGAAGGAAGCAAGTAAGGGGAGCTCATGGGGAAAGTGTAATCAGGCATTTGAATGCTGATGGGAACAGTCCAAAAGAAAATGGGATCTTGTAGGAATTCAACTTCAGTTAATGGCAGACTAGGTAATCACCGGCTGGAGACAACCAGAAATGCCAGACAAAATAAAGAAAGCATCTGCTTAAGACACTAGATACCTATTCAGACAGTGATGACTACCAGGCTGGAAGGGATTGTAGAAACCTAGGAAGTGAGCCTGGTGTTTAGAGCTACTGTCACTTGAGAGGCTGGAGGCTTATGCAATAACATAAAAGCCTCCTGGGCTCAGAGGACAGGGACTGGAGGCCAGGCATCTGCACGGGGAGAGCGCTGATGACCACCCTTTACCCTGGGCTGGGAACCTGAAGGTCTGCTCCTCAAGAATAAAGTGAGCTACCAGCAGGCAGATCCTCATAGACCCTCAAATACTTTTAGTCCCAGAAACTGGACGGAGGTTATCCTCACTGGTAATGCTCCCAGGTGTATCTGGGAGAGGCAAGGGTAAGGAAAACGTCAAGCTAGGCTTCAAGCTGTATCCACAGGCATTGCTGCAGATCCAAGGCCCAGCGCGTGAAGAGACGCGAAGAGATGTGAGAACCGGCAGAGTCAGCGTACAACGGCAACAGGTCAAGGGTGAAGGGCCGCAAATACCAAAGTTATCTGGCCCAGATTTTAAAACAACTGTGATAATACTCAAGAGGATACTATCGGTGATTTAGAATTTTGGCAAAGAAGTTTATAAAAAAAAGAATGAAAAAGGAAACTACAGAATTAAAAAATAAAAATTGCTAAAATTAAGAACTTGATAACTAAGTGCAACAGCAGACGAGACAATGCTGAAGAGAAAACTAGTAAATAGGAAGATAGGTCAAAAGAGAGTAAACAAAATAAAGATGGAGAGACAAAGAGATGGAAAATACAAGAAAGTAGATAAAAGACAAATAGTATACAAAGGAGAGATCTAACAACATGTAAGTAGACTCACAAAAGTAGAAGAGAAAAAGAATTGGATAGAAGCCATATTTGAAGAGTTAATGTTTGTGAACTTTCCAAAGTTGATGAAAGAAATTACTCTACTGACTTAAAATACTTATCAGCTCCCTTCCACAAAAAGAGGGAGAGAGAGAGAGAGCGGGAGGGAGGGAGGGAGGGAGGGAGGGGAGAAGCAATCCCTACTTAGGGACTTTGTGGAGCTTTTAAAACATGGTCCCAAAATTCTTTGATATTTCCCCCACTGAGCATGGGAATTCATATCTCTTTATTCTTTAATCTGGCTCTGTAACTGCTTTACTAATAGCATATGGCAGAAGTGATGCTACCCTAGTTTCTGAACCAAGGCCTTTTGAGACAGGAAGCTTTGACCTCTTTTCTCTTGAGACCTGCCATTATGCCTTGGGGAAGCCGAAGCAACCCCTGGAGATGACTGGTAGCCCTGGACCTTCAGCCCTGGATGAAGCCCCAGCCAACAGCCAGCACCAACTTGCCAGTGAGTGAATCATCTTGGAAGTGGATTCCTGCAGTCAAGCTACCCTGGCTGATGCCATGTGGAGCAGAATTGAGCCTTTCTCTCTGAGCTTTGCTCAAATTGCAGATTTGTGGGCTAAACAATTGATAATTGCTCAGCAATAGCTAAAAATGATACATATTGGTCAACAAATTATAACATAGCAATAACTGACACATGTGCCCTGTTACAACTACTGTAAGCAAAATGCAAAGAAAAACATTAAAGAAACAGAGGAAAAAGTTATCTTCAGAAGGCACCATTAGATTGACAGCTGGCTTCTCAACAATGGCAGCCAGAGAAAATTGAATGACATCCTTAAAGAGCTAAAAGAAAATAAATGCCAATGAGAATTCTATACCCAGCATTCTTCCCTTCAAGTATGAAGTTGAAATTAAAACATATCACTAGTCACACAAAAGTACTGGGGTGGGGAAGCAGAGAAACTTTGTCAATAGCAGACCTAAAAAAAGGAAATACAAAAGGATTTTCTTGAGGTAGAAGGAACCTGATCTCAGTTCCTATGATGCTCAAAGATACACACACAAAAATGAGGTACCATGAAAATGGTAAACATGTGGATGAACCTAAGTAAATACTGGTGGCATATTGTTTTGTTGGGTTTAAAATAAAAGTAGAATTTAAAAAGAGACAACACATGGTGTAGAAGCCTGGAGGGGGATAAATGGACTTAAAGGATTCTAAGACTTGTTTATTGTTCTGGAAGATGCTAAAGTACTAATTATACTTCAGAAAGGCCAAAGGATGTGTGTTACAATCTCTAGGGTTCTTTGAAGAACTGTGAAGAGTTTCAGATATTACCCTACTTCCAAACTAACAGGTTAGCCTTACACAGTTTCATGGATACTGGCAGAAGACACAAGATTCCTGGATCAGAGACAAAGGGCAATTTATTACTCACAGCAATATCAGTAGCCAGAGTATCAGCACCTGTGCCAATTCCCTGGGATCCAGTTCCCACAGGGTGACATGAAGAGGGTCTGGTGACACCTACTCATGTTGCATTAGAAGAGAGAAAGCCTGAGTGTAGGGAATTTGAATCTTTTATAATTGTCAATAAGCAAGTCTGTCTCAGCTTTGCTCTGGAGGATGGTATTATCTTTATTATACAGGAGAGAAGGCAAACCTACCCTCTGCTCTAGAGAAAGCCCCTATCTCTATCTTTGGAGGCTATAAACTATGTAAACATCCTTGTAAAGATAGTCTGGAACAAAGGAAGCCAGTGTCTCTGCTTGTAAGATGTACAGAAACACAAGAGACCCAGGCAGAAGTGTCTTCCAAGAGTTATCACTACAAAATAATAATAGAGTATATAACCTCCAAGCTAACAGAGCAAACACATTTTTTAAAATCATGAGTTGCAAAAGCATTATGCTAAGTGAAAAAAAAGTCAGACTTGTAAGACCATATGCTTTATGATTAAAAGGCAATACAGTGATAGAAAACAGATAAGTATTTGCCAGGGACTATGGCAGACACAGGGGACTTACTGCAAAGGAACATGGAAGAAATCTGGGGGATAATAGCAATGTTCTGTATCTTGACTGTGGTGATGGTTTCACAGGAGCATACCTTTACCAAAACTCACTGAATGGTACACTTAAAACTGGTAAGTTTACATTTTTATAATTTACGTCTCATGAAGTGAACTAAAACAAAGCAAAAATAAAAATAAATAGATAAGAAGACAAGAAAGAAAGGAATAAAGAAAATAAATTGGTGGAACAAAAAGGAAAGCAAATAGTAAGATTGATTTAAACTCAAATAGATTGCAATTATATTAATTATCAATAGACTAAGTGTTCCAAATAAATATAAGGAAAAACAGGATAATAGAAAAAAAACAAGAAACCTGTATACTCTTTACAAGATAAAAATAGAAAGAAATATACAAATACTAATCAAAAGAAAGTTATATTAATATTAGACAAAGTAGAGTTTACGGGACTGGAAACAAAGATGAACAATTCATAATGATAACAGTTTCAATTCACTAGGAAAAGATAACAATTATAAGTTAATATGTACCAAATAATA